GAAGATAACCTATGGATTAGAACTAAACCTTTTGTGTCAATAAATGAGGAGCTGTTTATATGTTTGCTACATACAACCAACGGGCTCAACAGCTACATGCCACAATGACGCAGAATGGAGATGTTTTGAATCAGAAGTGATATAAATGGCTGGTAAGGCAATATCTTACTTTTTGGGGACATGAACGCAGCAAGAATGACTACATTGAAGATGATACAAATTTCAATCCCCCATACCCCATTTGGAAGTGCACGAAAATCTGCAGACATATCAGTGAACATACAAGGAAGACAACTCATTTATGTCTGTATCAGTTTATGTCTAAGAATTCTGAATGGAAGACATAGAGGGGACAGCCCAGGTAAATTTACCTGCCAAGAGGCTTGAGTGTAGTAGATTATGTAATTATATCTTGCAGGTCAGCTAAGTAATGTTACTGATTTTAGAGTTGGTTCTCTGCAGCCATATTCAGACCACTGTCCCTCGAATTTGTGCTCAAAGCAGCAATTGTGCTGCCATCTATGGAGCCATCTCCTATAATATGTGAATTCCCCCTCACTAAGATGGAACAAGGAGAATTTCATCGGCAATTTGGAACAGAATGACGTAGTGACACGTGTTCTAGGTCTAAAAAGTTTTACTATCTTCAGAGTCTATTGATTGTGATGCTGGGGCAGAACAAATAACAGAGCTATTAACAAACTTGATGAACAAGAGTTTGACCTAGGGGCAGAGGAGTAAGAACCAATGAGAATAGATTTCCTAGAAAGAGCTGGTTTTATGAAGAATGCAAAACCCAAAAAAGAGTTGTCAACAGTGCAAGAAAAAACTTAAAACATTTCTCAGACAATCAGTTCAATCGAGAAAACTATTTCAGAGAGAAAAGGATCTACAAGAAAATGGTTAAAAGGAAGCGAGAAGCAGCAACTATACAGCATTACCAAATGCTTGTGAGTGCTCAAAAGACAGATCCTAAGAGATTCAGGAAATGTATCTCCAGAGCGAAGGGGAAGATGGCTACATTTTCCAATACAGACCCCAAAGCTTTTCTGTCCCACTTTGCAAATCTAAACATGTCATCAGAGAATGGCAGCTCTGTAGCTCTCCCTCATTCTGAAACTCTGTCACCTTATATCCCAGAACTGGATGACGATATAACAGAGGAAGAAACCAAACAAGCCGTTCTTCATCTGAAATCAAATAAAGCGCCTTGCCCGGATGGTATTTCAGGGGATGTTATAAAGTTCTGAATGGTTTATTTCTCTCCTGCATTACAACATTATCTAACCTTATTCTCCATTCTGGTACTTACCCTAAAATCTGGTAAGTCGGGGTTATTACACCAATACATATAGGTGGTTCCAAACAAGACCCCTCATGTTGTCGGGGAATCACTCTTCTGAACAGCATGGGGAAATTTTTACATCGATTATTAGTACAAGGGCAGAAGAATATGCATTACTACCAGAATCTCAGTTTGGTTTCAGAAAGAACAGAAGAACTACTGACTACATATTCATATTAAACACTGTAATTGATCTTCTTTTTTTTAAAAACAAGTACCACTGTATGTCTGTTATGTTGACCTGAAAAAAAGCATTCGACTCTGTGAACCACTCGCTTCTCTGGGTGAAGCTGGCACAACTAGGTATAAGCAAGCAATTGCTTACCTTGTTGCAATGTATGTATGCTAATGCATAATCACGTGTGAAATTTTCAAGGGTAAAACTACTGCAGGTTTTCCCTGCCAGAAAGGTGTTAGACAAGGTTGCAACTTGAGCCCACTGTTGTTTACTAGTGACCTAGAGCTGGAACTGGGAATAAACAATGCTGGGGTTGTGATGTTCAACACCCGTTTAGACCTACTCAGGATGCAGATGACACTTTATTGCTATCCCAAGTGCATCCGGCCTGCAAAAACGTCTTCGGACTCTACAGTCATTTTGCCAGAAATGGAAACTTGAGGTAAATACAGATAAAACTAAGGTATGTATATTTGGAAGAAGCAGGTATCAGGGGCCATTTGTTTGGAAAGACTTTCATCTTGAAACAGTACAGACATATTGTTACCTTGGAATCTGGTTCTCAAGAAATGGTAAATTCAATAAGGCAAGACAACACATTTCCCAACAAGCACGAAAGGCTTCTTTTCCACTGTGACACCTATACTCAAGTCTGAAACGTCCACCAGTCCTGGTAAAGCTCAAACCCTACGAGATATTTATGGTACCAATCATGTGGTGTGGATGTGAGATCTGGGGTTTTGAAGAAGATAAAGACATTGAAAAAGTAGAATTATGGATACTAATCAATGTTCTGGTCTCAACACCAACCATGGCAGTCCGAAGAGAATTAGGACAACTTCCTCTTCATCTGTGGTGCAAAGAAAGATTGCTAAAATATTGGGACAGACTTTGTTCAGAGGACATCCCACTTCTACTAAAGATGCAGCAAATCTCTCCATTCACAATGCAGCTAATAGTAGCAATAATTGGGTGGGGAAAATTATGTCTTTATACAACCAGACAGGTTTTACATCAGAATTCGATGGCTGTGAGCCTTTCCTCAGAAATATTTGAATTGGAACCTTACCTTCTATCAAGTATCGCACAGCCATGGCAAGATTACGAACCAGCTCCCATTCACAGGCAATTGAGGTAGGAAGGTTCCCTAAACCCAGGCCTCTCCCTGTAACAAATCGACTATGTACAATCTGTGACATAATTGAAGACGAATATCACTTTTTGTTGTGTGTGTGTCCACAATATTCATTAAAGAGGCAACAAATGGAAACGACGGTAGAAAATCTCTTCCCTTACTATCGCTTTATGTCTCAGGAACAGAAGTTTATATTTTAACTCAGCCATTCCCACCCACAAGTGAACCACTCTGTATCATCTTTCATTTATCATTGTTTCGTCGTGCACAACAGTAGGTGACCAGTGAGCCACCCTGGTGGTCGTGAAAATTATTAACAGCCTTCCTCAACCTATTGCACCTATTGATGGTGACAAGCCTTCAGACAGTCATAGTTCCGACTCACTCTGTGGCCCTGAGAACAATAGAGCCATCGCCTCTGACGCGAGAGCTAGGCAATCTAAGGTACGATGTCACCCAACTGAAGTCAAATATTGTGAGTCTAAAGAGTACCTCGAACTATGAGACCTGTCTTATTTATGTGAGATTGAAGAATCTTGAGACAGATGATGTGCGTGAATCACTTCTAAATGCGATACTGCATTGTCCAATTGTTTGCTACTCCATTATTCGTAAGGTATCACTACGAGTAAGAATTCAAAAACACCACCTTCACTCTGCATTGTCATCAACTGATACACGCCCTGACATTGTCAGATTATGGAGACCTATACTGCTCCCTGCTCTTCTTCCTCCAATCTAATATAGAACGGAGCACCCTGTCACACAGCCTCAGCTGAGAACCCCTCCCCCGCCTCTCTTAATCTTACCACCTGGAATTTTCGAGGCCTTGACAGTGGGGAACCCTACATACACCAACTGCCTGAAAGTGGGTGTGACATCATTGCAGTAAGTCAGCACTGGCCCTTTGAGGCAGATCGTCTACGCAACATCCACACAGCTGAAATAAAGATCGATGGAAGGCTTACAGAGAATTCAGCTCTCAGAACAGGCTGCGAGGGAGTGGTGTTGATGTGGAAAAAGGAAATCAATGCAACGGGGGTTATCTCTTCAGTATCCAGTGATCGCATTTGTGGTCTCCGTGTGAAGTCACCTCACTCCAGTGCAGCTGATATCACCATTATTGGAGTGTACCTGCCTTGTTCAGATATGGGCATGGAACGTTACACGGAGCACCTTATCGAACTAGAAAAGAGTTGTATCTGAACATCAACACCCATCTAGGCGTTCTTGGTGGTGTGAGAGGTATTGGCGACCAACAGGGGATACTCTTCCACCAGCTCATCACTCGCTGCAGTCTTTACGCTGTGTCACTCTCATCCCTCTCCCAAGGCCCTCAGTATACATTTCAGAATAGCTTGTCACAAACCACAGTTGACTACATACTTGTCAGCCATGATACAACAGAATACATGCTTCAGTGTTTCACACACGATCCCGCTCCTCTGAACAATTCAAACCACCTGCCAATCACAGCTAGGTTACAGTTTCCACATTCCACAGCCATCCAGTTGACCAAAAGACGAGCTTTCTTTGCCTTTGGAGCTATGGGGGCATTTCATGGACAGTTGAATCCGTTATCAGCGAGAAGCATCTATGAGGCCTGTGTGGTTCCCGTGCTGCTGTTCGGCTGTGAGAACTGGATGCTGACAGATTCGACACTGCATCAGCTGGAATCATTTCAGGGGGAAATTGGTCGTCGCATACTGAAACTGTAAAAATATCACTCTACACCTTCTACTCGTTTGGCTCTCAGGTGGCCTTCAGTAACGGCGAGAAAGTTTGTTCGTAAACTGAGTCTTCTATCAAAGGTGTCTGACAAGGGAAATAGCATCGGGAGCCAAATATTTCAAGCTCAACCACAAGATTCTCTCAGGCTCGTACAGGAATGTAGAGCTATAGTCGCCTGTCAGAACTCTACCGATGCCATGCTCAGTGCCCAGTCAACTCTAAGAGAAATAAAGTGAGAAGTATTACAGGCAGACTGGGAGGCCTGCACCACCGAGGCCAGCCGTCGCAACAGTACAGCGATTCATCACGAACATCTTGGATGAAGCTGTGGGACATGGCACTTGATTATGGACCTCGTGGTGCTGACTCCCTACAGGCCCTTTATCGCCAATTGACCAGGCCACAGTTTCAGCCAGGCATCTGCCATGTCTGTGGTGCCACAATGGATGTTCATCACTATACTCTCTCTCACATGCCTCTCTCTGACCCAGACCAGATTATCAACTCTCTTTCGTCCGCTATTTCTATTTTCATGATTACAAGTAATTTTATTTTGTAAACATGCCATGCTCTTGTTTGGCTTGCAGTTGGCTTGCAGTGCATTAAACCTTTGAACCGAATTATCTGCAGGTCACCGTCGACAAGTATAATATACGCTTTTTATGCGCATGCGCTTATATATTATCGTAACCTTCGACCTCACCGCGCAGAGCATGGCAGGCAGGATGGATAAACGCTACGACCGTCAACTGCGCCTCTGGGGAGATCACGGTCAAGCTGCCCTAGAGAGGGCTCGGGTATGTCTGATAAATGCAACAACCACTGGGTCAGAAATATTGAAGAATGTAGTTCTTCCGGGCATTGGTGGCTTTACCATCATTGATAGTGCCAAGGTTACTATGGCTGATATCGGAACTAATTTTTTTCTTAGTGTGAAGTATTTGGGTACCTCTCGTGCAAAATGTTGTGCGCAATTTCTGCAAAAGCTGAATAATGTGAAAGTAGAATATATAGAGGAAGGTATAGAAGAAATTTTGAACTCTAACCCCACTTTTTTGTGTCAATTCACTATTGTAATCGCTAACGCATTACCTGAGGTAACACTCAGTAGAATTTCCAAGATCTTGTGGTCATCTTCAATACCATTGCTCGTGTCAAGAGCATATGGGTTGCTTGGCTATGTAAGAATTGCCCTACCTCATCATCAGATTATTGAGTCTCATCCCGATAATCGTCATGAAGATCTACGTCTAGATTGCCCATTTCCTGGTCTTGTCAAGTATATGGAGTCCATCGACCTAAGTAAAATGGATAATGCTGAACATAGCAACATTCCTTATTTGGTTGTCTTGTACAAGTATCTCCAGCAGTGGCAATCAAGCCACAATGAAATGATGCCACAGAATTATCATGAAAAGAATGCTCTAAGGGAATGTATTCGAAGTGGAATGTGTTGTAATGAAGCAGGTGTACCATTAGACGAGGAAAATTTTGAGGAAGCAATTCAGAACGTTAATCGTGTTGTTTTGAAGTACAGAATACCTAGTTTTGTTCAGGATATCTTAGAAAACTCATGCTGCTTCTCAGCATCAACTGAGTCAAGCAAGTTTTGGCTTCTTGTTAGAGCTTTAAAGGAATTTGTTGCAAATGAAGGTCAAGGAAGGTTACCATTAAGAGGTTCCATTCCTGATATGACTTCAAACTCTAAAATGTACGTTGATCTCTGTAGAGTATATCAATCAAAAGCAGAAGAAGACATGGAAGCAGTTAGAAGTCACCTGAGCCAGATTCTAGTGGGTGAAGGAAGGCCTCTGAACTATATCTCTGAGGATGATATTCGTCTTTTCTGTCGCAATTGTGAATTCTTGCGTGATATAAAGTATCGTTCAATAGCAGAAGAATTGGAAATGCCCGACAATATTACTCTTATATCTCATCTTGAAAATTCAGAAAGTGACTTAGTTTATTATGTCTTACTTCGGGCAGCTGAGAAATTCTTTGAAATGTATCATTTCTATCCTGGCGATAGTACAGACGGAATTGAGGCAGACGTTATTAAGCTCAGATCAATTTCGGCTACACTGCTTCAGAAATGGCAAATGCCCACCTGTCAGATTAATGATGACTACATCACAGAATTCTGCCGGTATGGTGCCAGTGAAGTTCACTCCGTTGCAGCATTTGTTGCTGGGGTTGCAGCTCAAGAAGTGATAAAGATTATAACTCAGCAATTTGTTCCCTTGAACAATACTTGGATTTACAATGCTACATCTCAAACAACCCTAACAGTAACTTTATAAGTTATTGTATTCCCACTGCAGATTTATGTAAGATAAAATATGGAAAGGCATGTTGCGTTTGACAGGTTGTACGTGGACTACTAGAGTGCCTAATGTTTAAGACCCAGAACAATTTATTTGGAAAAAGCTACACTGCAAATAATTCCCATGTTCCAATGTCATGGGTATCCCTAAAAAAGCAGATAATCATGTATATGTAATATTAGCGCATAGTATAATATTAGTAGGATTAATGTGTCTGTGACTGGTTTGGCTCACTAATTATGGATTTATATGGATTATATTACTAGGCACTATACGATTTTCTAGGACATACTAATGGTGTATTAAGATACCTTCTTATGATGGAGAGACTCACCTATTTCTCATGTCCTAAGCACACCTATTTCTCATGTCCTAAGCACATGATGTGTAACTGTTGCTACTGCATTGTGTGCAGTCTAAGACGTCTGTTTGCTCAACTTACCAGTTTTAAAATGCTGCATTATTGGTGCTCTACATAATCCCTTCACCATTGTCCCCAAACTTTAACATCATTCTCTTTAACATCAAACGGCATGGGTTGTGCGGAAACAATATTAAAAGGCTTGTGCAAATAAAAAAGAACACGAGCAAGAAATGTCAGTTTACAATTGCACTACTGCATAAAATGCATTAAGTCGTCCCTACTTCGTCTCCTTCCTTTTTATGCCATCTATAATATTCACCTATTAATTTCGATTGGTATGTAGTACATGCCGAAACATTTTGTGCATCCTTAGTGGCAATGCAGGTCTTGGCAGTTAGCTTTAGTGCTAAAATGGCAGCTACAACTACAAAAACATTTTAAGCACAACTGTGTTAGAACAAAGCCTGTGTGCTATCAAGTGCCAGAAACATTGGTTATTGGACGAAGAGGTGGGCTTTTTCTCTTGCTATGGCATTCATTAAAAGCTAGGGTCTTAGAATTAAAATATTGTCGCCTATTCCTCCATGTAATAATATCTGTTTGAAGTGGCAGCTGCTGTGGGACTTAGCAGTAAAAGAGAGCAAAGTTGGAGTGAGTTGACTTTCACAATGGATTGGATTTATGTGCTAGATGTTGAGACGAAGTGTTCAGCAGTCCCCGGGGACCCTGAGTGATTTATTGGTGAACACAATGAGCCCACCTTGTCGTTTAAATGCGGGACTTTTTCTATATATTTTTTGTGACCTGCACTGCCGGTGAACCTCAGTGATGTTCTACATGATTCTAAAATACGCCCAAAACACGCCTGAAAAATTGAACTGCTCGCTTTCATCGCCAAAAATGTGTTGCATTCGTTCTAGTAGGCCACTAGCCGCCATCTCTGTCTGCTCTCCTGTGCTTCTCATTATTTTTTCTTATCAATAATGTAATCAGAGAAGGACCCACACAGAGAGAATTAAACTGTGGTGAATATAATAAGGTACAAGTAAACTTCGAATTAAAAAAGTGTGGAATATAGGGATGCCATAAAAAGTAAGGAGACAAGACAGGGATGACCTAGTGAACATGATGCAGTAGTACAATGGATGATGGCTACATACTTTGAACTGACATCACTTGCTCATGTAAAATTTCCTCCACACAAGCCCTATATTGTCGTCACCTTTACTGTTTGTTTAGTGACGTGCGAGGACAATGGTGAAAGAATTCTGTATGCAGCATTGTAAAACTGGTTAGTTGAGCAAATGTAGAAGTCTTAGACTTCACACAATGCAGTCACAACTGAAAGCCGAGTAGATGGTATTACCTGTCGAATGTGCTTATGAAATAAATCAAAACTGTGCATCATACACACGTACTTCGCGACAATATAGGGCTTGTGTGGAGGAAATTTTACATGAGCACTCAGTTCAAAGTATGTAGCCATCATCCATTGTAATGTTCACTAGGTCATCCCTGTCTTGTCTCCTTACTTTTTATGGCATCCCTATATTCCACACTTTTTTAATTCGAAGAATTTTTTGTTTACTTGTCTCCTTTCCTTTTTTTACTGCATTCACATGCATGGTGTGCATATAAAAAGGAGATATTTTTGGGCGTGCGCACACGTACACACGTGGCAGGTGATCGTACGCATGCGCGTGTGGGCCGGACGCGCGTCGTCGCAATGATGGCAATTTAACAACCCCCGCCCAGTTCCACTCAGGTCTGGGCCATGCCAGCCGCTATATAGCTACTCAACCGTTACCACGTGCGCGTGTATTGTATGCAAGTTTGAAGCAATGGCAGAATGAATGTATAATAGACAGCTAGGTAGCTTTGCCATGTCATAATTATTTGTAGAAGTTTCTTGCCTGAGGCTGTTTGTTGTTGTTTACAAACTTGTAATTTCTGTTTCTATGAACTCTCATCATGGTACATGAGTGTACCAAGTTTCATTGTTAGAGGACCCACCATAAGCAAGTTATAGGCACTGACACATTTTAAAGTCTTTTTTGCCTGAGGCTGTTTGTTGTTGTTTACAACCTTGTATTTTCTGTTTCGGTGAACTGTTTATCATGGTGAATCAGTGTACCAAGTTTCATTGTTAGAGGACCAGCCATAAGCATGTTATAGGCAAAAACACCATTTAGAAGTATTTATTGCCTGAGGCTGTTTGTTGTTGTTTAAAAATTTTTAATGTTTATATTTTGATACTAATGATGGGTTGCATGTGTGTACAGAGTTTTATCACTCTGGGTATTCGCTTTGCCTAGTTAGAACACTTTATTTGTCTCTATCATAATGTATTGCCTTGGGCTATTCGTTGTTGTTTACATGTAAACAAAACTGTTTACGAAGAAATAAAAATGCTCTTGCACGACCTGTCGTGGATTCCAATATCTTTGCGAAGTTTAATATCCATATTTTACCCTGTTTTTGAGATACGCTTGTCTAAACTGAACAACAAGAAGAATTTTGAAAACTGACTTTTATGAATAAATCAAGTACCGATTATGCGATTTAAGCCATTTCTTGGATAAATGCTCTTTGTGACCATACAGATCAGTCTGATGTGTCAAAAGTTGGACCTGATTGAAACTGAAAGTGAAACATGAAAGGTATGGGCATAATGCAGGACAACCTGTGTCATCCCTATAATACTAAGTACTACCGTACTTAGTGATACGTAGTAGCTGTTAAAGGTTCTCTGAAGTCTTCACAATAGTAAAGCATCGGAACAAGGGTGTAGCTTTGCTTGGCAGGCTTCAGTGTTTTTATGTCATGGGTGTCTTTAAAATAAGCAGAAATAGATGTATGAAGTATATCCCCCATATAATTTGTTGTGGAATTATGGAGGCTATGGGCACAGTTGCATCCATAGCTTGAGTGTTAAGGATTTGTGTAGTGGTGCATGGGATGTGCAAGGTGGTGCAAAATATTGACATGGGTACCTGGGAGTAGTGGTGAAAAGGCCATGGAAGTGAGGTGTGGGAGGTCGGGTACCCTGTAAGGTCGTACTGTTCGAAGGAGCTAAGTATGTTCATCTAACCAAGAGGATATAGGCCTAGAAGATCATAAAGCTGAAGTGATAGTATAGCTTTTTGGTAAGTAATGGTATATAAGGCCCACAAGTACAGTGTTCAATGAATGCCAATGAGTATATATGAAGATGGACTGAATATGGGATTAGCTTTTAGGAACCCATGCACTCAATGATAACCTGGGTGGTGGAGATGAGGTAAGGAGTCTGTCTGAGTGTCAAAGAATAGGTCAACCATATTTTTCGGAGTTGTATATATATACAACATCATTATTCTAGCCTTTAAGAGCAACATGCATGCAGCAATATATTTGAGGGGCTGGGCGTTCGACAGTCACTCGAGTTACAAAGCATATTTTTTATAACAAATGTTAGTATAGTCCCAATCTCGGATTGAATGGCAGTGGTAAGCTAGTGTATGTGATACTACTACAGCAACTTCTGTCTCCAGCTCTGGGTGCATGGTCTATGGTTGTCTGCCTCGTGTCCAATTTTAACATGCCATGAGAGTGAACTGGCAAGTGAATCTAGCTCATACTGTGTGCAAGGAGCAGTTATCCCAAGTGATTTTAAACTTGGGCAATGCGTGCAAACGTGTAGGAAGTGTCACAGTGAGGACTGTATAACACCTGCCATTGCGATGAATGAATGTCTGAGTCCTGTTGCTTCACCAGCCGTAAAACGCCTCATGATGTTTCCATACAGCACCCATTATTGCACCAACATTATTTTGTAACGTGTCACATACTGAAAAACTGATGAAGGTGAAATGATTTATTTACTGTGATAATTATTGTCTGAGTGATACGACAAAACAGAGTTATGACGGACATCTTTAAATCACTTTCTAATTTTTTGTCTTGAAATTCGCCATGAATTTGGCTCTTCGTACCTGTAGTAGGCATAAACACGAGTAAAAACTACTACTAGTGTTAAAATACCCATGGTGGTATGATCATAAAACTGCAAATTTGAGGGACTGAGTTATCTTAGGACTGGTCTGGCAAAAAAGCACTGTGCAAGAGTTTATGGGATGAGAAAGCCAATTTGTACCAAGTACGGGTTTTGACCACAGTCAGTTGTCACTAAGAATAACAAACGGTGAGCAAGTAGTACAGCATTGCTTCAAGCAGTGCCTCTATGACTGAGAGGCAGTAAAATTTGGGAAATGGACATGACGACAGGGCACAATAGCACCGAGGCCTTTTGCTACTTGTTACTACCAAAGCCAACACAAACCAACAAGAAGAAGAGCTGCCCTGGGTGGGATTTGAACCAACAAGACTCTCATGTACCTGTTGTATAATGGTTCAATCCTCTCTTGTCGTTTTCTTCGACTGAGTTTAGTAGGGTCAGAAAATCTGAAAAATGCAGGTGCAAACTCGACAAGCCACTTTGGATCAAGAGCAGTAGTTTCCCTCATATACTCTTTAGTTGTGAGTACCAACTCATGGTATATCACCCTGCATAGAATAATAATGCCATCAATGAGTACCAACTCATGGTATATCACCCTGCATAGAATAATAATGCCATCAAGATGCTATATAGATAGGAGCCTACTATGACTGAAGCACTATATGAAATTGATCCAGTTTTGAATGCTGTCTTCAGGCATCAGAACTAAAAACATATGGAAATTACTGCAATGTTATTACCTGGACCACAGGCCATAAACAAGGTTCCTCAATAGGCTATTACATATACTACCTAGCTAGAAACCACACTCCTTGGGTTTCCCTATGTGATATCTGGCTGACGATGCCAGAAGGGCAAAGTCAGTTTAAAATTCACTACGGTTGCTTGGCAGTTTGGCCAAGGCTAAATGGCGCCAGAGGTGAAAAACACCTGCGCAGAAGAAGTGCCTGGTTAAAGAGCACTGCATCAAATCCTAGTAAGTGTAGTTAATGCAAACTGAAGGTGTCCAAGCTACTTCGAGAAATGCCTTGGTTATACCATGTCCTCTTTGCTTTTGGTTAGATCTGCAAAGTGCTAGAGGGTGTCTACCTACACACACAGTGCAACCTCAGACAGTCTTACTGCGCTTTCTTTGATCTTGTAGCAAGAGTGTACCTCTCTAATTCACCCTCATTTTTCCAAACTACAAAGGCATTGAATTTACCCTAGTAACCATAATATAAACATGTCTAAGCATGTGCAATGCGAGAAATACTTATTATAACCACCAAAGGCGTACTGTTTTCCTCACATTAAGATGCAGAAACTCTTGCGGACTTCTAATTTGGTAATACAATTGCCCCTGCCTACGGAACAGCTTGTTCCTTCAACACAAAAGGCAATGCGTAATGGTAAACCATACCAGTCTGGTTGCCTGTTAAAAAGTGCACTAGAGGGATGGATGTAGACTGTTGTATTGTCCACAATGGTCTTGTATCCTTCTTGTGGATCCTACAAATAACAAAAATGTTAATTGCCAAGAAAACAGGGGTGCATGTTCAGCAAAGTTTGCTTTCGTGTTTGTTACCATAACAATGCACAATAAGGCAGTAAAAAATATGTAATATTAATTCAGTGCATTATGCGGTTTGAGGGAATGATAGTGATCAAGGTTACTTAATGCAGGAGCTGTACGCGAGTGCATTACGTAATCAAGATCATTATCACTCCGTCCAAGCACACTAATTGGAACCAATATCGTGTTTTAAAATTTTAGTGCTGCATGTGTAAGGGAACTAATGTCGACCACAGCACCCACTGACTTTTTTTCACCCATCTCGGTCATGTTACGGGTTATGTGTGTAACCACCACTGTACCACAACTACAACTAAGTCACCTGTAATAACTCTACTGTACTGTAAGCCAGATCACAATTTTGTGGGTCGCTACACATGCGACCTCAGTTAATCGGATTAAAAGCCACTTTTTTTAACACTCGCCCTGACGACAATTGCCATCCCTTTCTGCTTGCTGCTCGATTACACACTCATCCAGGTATGCTTATCTCGGTTTCCATTTCATGTTTTTGTATCTTTAACACTTAACCAGCCACAGATGCATAAATGTGTCCAGATCCTCCATTGTGGTTACACTTAACCAGCCACGGATGCATGAATGTGTCCAGATTCTTGTCTCTCTGTGCTCAGCGTGAAACTAAATGTGGATAATGAAGCTACATGTTCTGTTTCGGTAGATGTTGTACGTGATCTTGTCATTTACATGAAAAACAAGGTTTACTACGGAGCGTCCCAGGTATACTATGGGAAATCAATAACCTTGTGTGGACCAATCAGATTTCTCAATTTCAAAATTCCTACCACTCTACCTTTCTTGCAGCATTTCTGAAAAAACCTGAACAGATAGCCTTTTGCACTTTAGACACAGTTTTTCCACATGACACCACATCCAGTTTGTGCCTGTCCATTATTCCCAACATTTGCTTTCTTACATCTTGGGCTCTAAAAGAAAAAAGAACGATAATCACACAAGAGGTTCACAGTAGGCTCCTATATACGTACTATTTCATACAATTTTATTTCACTTTACTTTTCTTGCATACTATATATAAGTTATGTACTACGTGCGAGGACATACCGGATTTCAATGAACCCGAGGGCCGCCGCGTTTGTAGTGTGCCGAGCGCAGGGAGTGCACTACGCAGATGGCCCGAGGGTTCTTTTTTTTCCTCCAAAGGATTTTAAAACACATGACTAACAGGTATGTACTCTGTATACTCCGGACATACTGTATTTCAATGAACTTGTTTTTGTCTGTTTCGCATTGTTTCTTTTTTCCTTCTATTTACTTTTTTCTTCTCTCTATTCCTCCTTTATTTTATTTTATGCACTGCTGCGTTTCCAAGCACAGGGAATTTTAAAGATGCGAGAAAGAGATGAGAGAGCAAGACCGTCACCTCGTGCACGACTATAATGCTGAACACTAGGATACGCTACTCCGCCGCGGGACTGTCATCCGCTCCTATTACGAAGAAACACAACAGGAGACCTGCGCAAACCGTTGCAACCAGAGAGAGAGACGAGATTAAGGAAGGAGCGAACAAGCGTAAGAGGGAAGGGATGATGGGAAGTCAGGAGTCGGTGGTGTTGCCATGTACCCGTTTGATGCCTCGCATCAGGTGTCGGAGGTTGACCGCCTCCGATGTTGGGTCTGGCAGACCATGCTCAAGTGTGTGAGATATGTGGCAAAGAACATAAGGGTGTTCTCGGAGGCAGGGATTGGGGAGCCTGTTGTGTTGAGGCGGTTGTACGTTAAGGCCAAGTCAATGAAACAGTGTTGGGTGGACGAGTAGGAGGCGCGGTGGACGGTGAGAGAGTGATGAAGTAGTAGGTAATTTCTGCATGAAAGGAAGAGAGTGAGGAAGAGGGGTTGGCTGGGGTGAGGCCTGTGGGGCGTGTGAAAAAGCTGGGAGCGATGAGGCCATCAGGGTGCCGTATGTCGGGAAATGGACAACTTTGAGTGGCTTTGGCGGGCAGAGCACGCTGCAAATGCTGCGATATTCGATAGTTGCGAGTCTGTTAATAAGCGTGTGCTTGCCTGCCTACTTCCGTTTTAACCATAATTACCCAGTTATTTTATCAACTGATCATTTTCATATTTTGTACCGATCATGTTTTGCAGGATACATTTCGTACATGAAATACTGTTGAACTTGTCGAGAATCAACAGAAAAAACAAGCTTTCATATCATGTTTTCATGTTACTTTCGTTAGTTCACGAGGTTCATATGAGAAATCAGGAACCTCGTACTAACAATCCTGATTGGTCAATTCAAATCAGCTATGCACTAAATCATATTCACTCTACCTATCTTGCAGCAAAAATCCCAAATAGATAGCCTTTTGCGCTTTAGACACGGCTAAACCAGCTGGTGTTAATTTCAACGCCCTATCTCTTGAAGGTAGTTGTTTCAGGTTATTTTTAGATACTAGAACAAGGACGGACACTGTTCTGTTGACTAGTGACTATTAATAATGCGTTACTATTGCATGGGATATAGCAATGACCTTCCCACAGGTTCATTCCTTTTTACAGGACTCATAAGTGCAAGTGCATAACAAACAAATCAACGAAATTCAGGAGAACACTTTTTCTAAAGAGCTGCCCTAGTTCAGGGGTTTCCCTAAAGAGTGGCGCTGTGGAGCCGCGCCACGTTACTTTATACCCGCGTGTCAATGCATGTTGCATTGTTTCTGTAAATGAAAGAAGAATAAGCTACTTTGGGAAATTTGTATTAAGGTTTTATTGTTTAATATACACTGTTGTGCCCGTGTATGCAATAATATACAACCTAGGTAAGCCATACTTGCCTTGGTGCCCCCCAGCTTTTAGGTAGTTCCTACGCCTATGACAAAAAAGCATGGGAGACAGAATTTTCTTGGCGTGAGCCCGTTTACACCGAGGAAACAGTGTCAGGTATGCTGTGTTCTGTGTTCAAGCGGCACAGTACTAAAAGTAAGTACAACAAGTCGTCTGTGTGGAGCGATACGCCTTATGCGTCTCTATATAAAGACGTTCGGCGTCACTCAACATCTATACAACATCAGGATGCTATACAGAGGGAAATATACCACGAGGCAGCAAAGCATGATGGTGGTATTGCTCAGGCTTTAGAGTTAGAGGTCTGCCATGAGAAGAAAGCTGTGAAGGGTGCAATGCAGTGTCTATATTGGCTTGTGCGTTCTGAAATACCTCACACTAAAAACTATGGTAGCCTAGTAGATGCCGTTAGACTTATGGGATGTGAGTATTTTAAGCATCTCCACAAAGGAGAAAACGCTAAGTACAAAAGCCGAAGAATTATCCAAGAATGTCTGGAACTCCTAGCGAGGCAGATTAAAGATAAGCAGCTGCAAGAGCTGAAATCAAGCATGTTTTATTCTCTAAAGATGTGGCTGTATTATGTGAAATGGTCGTATATGCTCGTTATGTGGGGTTTCTAAAAGCTCTTCTATGGCCTTAAGACCTGACATGCGGACTGGGCTGGGATAGAAGTAAAATAGTTGTGTTAGTGTTGGCTTAAATTAATAAAGGGTAGACCCTAGCAGACTACCATCGTCACTAGAGGAGGCAGTAACACAAAAATATGGAGATGGCCAAGTAGACCTTCTCAAACTGCAGTATGGTGGTAAAAGCGGAGTTGTTGATGAAGGTAGCATTGAAATGAACTCCGGTGCTACCTGTCAATGCATTGTCGTTCACTGTCTATGCTACAAGTAATCCAGATATTGACTACAAACACAACCCTGCACTTGTCATATTCTAACTTTTCAAAGCTAGCCGAGATTTGTTTTACTCTACCAAGTCACACCGCTGATTGTGAAAGAGGAAAGAGCTTTTTCTACAATGCGTATCATCTGTATATAATACCGTACTAGGGAACACACCTTTTCAAGCTCCTTGCTTGCACGAAGTTCTCATAGCACCATGGATTAGAAAACTTGTTATTTTTCCAGGCATTGTAGACAGCAAGTAAAGTAAGATGGTCTCCTTCTGGCTGATGAAACTTGGCTTTTCTTTGATCTGCTACGGCTTGTTTATCCTGGAGAAACATGTTACCAGCTCATGATTATGGACCTCATGCTAAGGCTTTCTAACTGAGTGTAAAAAATTAAGTAGCAATTACTTTTGGTCGATAAAAGATGTTTTGCACAGACAGCACAGACACAATAGTGAGAATCTCCTCAGAACAACCAAGATGTACACTTTGAATTAACATCTTGCTTAGTTGAGGTTCCAGTGGAAATTCAGCCATCCTACGCCCCAGTCTTGTGAGAAGACCTTCATCATCTAATGCTGACAGAGAGTGGAGCTGTTCCATAGCCATTATAAGTGTCTGGAATATAGAGCAAATCGCGAATAATAATGAAAAGCACTGAAGTGCAAACCCTCAGTGAACTGCGCATGCATGATAGCGCCAATTGAGGGGCTGGGTTATTAGTACGCGTTTAGCCTAACTATAGGGTGGGTAACAAGGGATGGGCACATCACCCTTCTGAAATGAATTGGCTTCTCCCTTCATTTTGTAGCTCATGGGTAATTGTCTTGGGTTTATACTTAGATCCAAGTTAGGAAGGGGTCTGGGTACTAGAAGCATCTCCATATCAAAGGTACTGTGTGCAATAGGTTATTAAAAAGTTTTGACAACTATATCAGCCTCTGCACTCAGTGTAACCACCAGTGTTTTTGGCAGTGTGTGCTAATACGTGAAACTCTATAATAAATGCAGAATGTTCAGGCAATGTTCGCAATGCGTTTGCACACGCATAAAACTTTCAAGCTCTAGTATATCAGTTTTAGGGAGAGTCAGAAACATCTGTGATTGTGCCACTCAAAAGCATATTATAAACTAAACCACATTGTGGGTGTAGTGTAACCTAAATACACGTAACAGCTCCAAACTTCTGTCACAGTGAAATTACTGAGGTAGTTTTGAATGCGAAGGTGATTCGTGTGTGATATGAGCTATCTCAGATCCATGACTGTGGAAAAAGCCTATAAGCTTGTCCAATTCACTTAAGTTTTACGACAAACAGCTTGATACCACGAATCATGGGGTGTAAAGACAAGGCAAGTGCACATGAAAGACACCTTTAGGTAGGATAACTGTAGTAGAAACACTAGGTGGGACTCTAAACCATGACACTGTTCTCTGGACAGAGTGCCCTATCACTAAGCTACTATGGCAACTCAGTAGGCAGGGCCAAAAGTCTGCAATACAACACAACACAATGCAAGGCAGAGGCAAACCTCACACTCTTTGCTATGACATAGAAACCCGTCACTTAGCAAGTACGAGCAGACACACACCAAAGCCTAGTGCCCAAAAACCGTTATGGGGTCTGGGCAACTGAATAAGGGCAACCATACCACTTATTTGTGGTTACAGTTTAAAGTCCAAACTTAAAGAGTTTGATATCCACATTCGAATCAAACAAACTGACATATGATTAACAACACGTACCTCCATGGGGGGAGGATCCATAAAGTCAAATGAAAGAAGGTCATTTATTCCCATAGCTTTTAGCGAGAGAACAACAAATGCTAAATTTGTCCTCTGGATCTCCGGCACAGCTGTTGGCAACATTTCATCTCTGTATGCTCTCTCTGTGTAAAGTCTGTAACATTTTCCAGGTCCTGTTCTACCAGCACGGCCAGCCCTCTGTTTTGCTTGTGCCTGGAACGCACATAAATATTCACAAGGGTGTATATTTGTAAAGTGTAGGTTTTCGCTATCAAAGTGTATACCAATGTCCGAACATCATTCCCTTATAAAATGAAAAGCACTAATGTGCCCGAGAACCATGTTCCTGCAGTGATAGATATGCGATAATGTGCAAGGAATGTTCCTTCAGTAATACCAAAGCAGATAGATACAATTCTTAGTGTTCGATGGAGACATCAAATAAACTCAGACCGCGGACTCGCGCCCATAATGCTTTGCTATTTGTATTATGAATATAGGTACATAAGGGGCCTGATTAAAACAAATTTAAAAAATTCAATAACACAATGAGATATACTGACGATCTTTTAACACTAAAATAGTATTGCTACATTCCATTCAGTGAACTGACGTATGCCCCCGCGAGCTCCAGCTGAAGAAAACTACGGAATGTGAAACACAACTACTTAGATGTACTAGTAACTATAGAAAATGAGAAATATTCAACAGCAGTATATGACAAGCGGGACAACATCAACTTCAATATTGTCATCTAATATTCCACCTGGACCTGCATATGGAGATTATATTTCCCAGCTAGTACATGTAGGTCGAATATGTAGTTCTACACTCAGTTTGCGATCAGGCACTACAAACTTACACAGCGACTAGTTTGCCAAGGATTCAGGTACTCAGCATTGTGTGTAGCTCTTCGAAAGTTTGCAAGAAGCATACACATGTTCTGGACAAAAATGGTTGTAGTATACGCAATCATATTGATGGACAGGAATGGATCCTTTCCTTAGTCGCCATGTCTCACGAAGATCTATTTAAACGATACATATTTTACTTTTACACCGCGTGCATACAACTGTGCACTAAATAGAATCATTGCACAGCCGCTCTATACTGGAGCCAAGCCTGGTCTGCGCGTGAGTTGTCATTCTTTCTTTCCAGATTCAAATTTGCAATAAATGTCTATTTTTCTACGGACTGATTTAACATTTGTACTGCCTCTTTTATCCAGATTTTTTTATTTTTTTATACATATTACTATATTTTTCTACTGCCTTTGTATAGCAACTGTAATTGTGGTTGTTTGTCGTGAGGTCTGGACACTGGGTGTGTGGGGAGATTTGGTAAATGCCATAAGACTCCTTAACCCACCGCCCCGGTTCTCAAGGCTGGGCACCTGGTGTCCTACCTATATATGTGCAAGTGTGCTGTTTGTCTTGTGTGTGTAGAGGGTGGGGGGTGGAGGGTGACTTCTGGTTTTTCTATTCTCTATTGCTAGTATGCTATAAATATGCTTTGCGCAAATCATGTTCCTTCAGCGATACTACCGAAGCAGACGGAATAAAGAGCTTCTGCTGGATGCAATTGGTAGCCTAATTCTTCATGTTCAACGGAGATTGTCATATTGCAGGCTTGCGCCAATGATGCGCAATCGTAGATTTGAACGCACATCAGTCGTAAAAACAAAATTGTGGACTCAACCAAGGTGAACAAAACATGCTTTAACTCTTCAGGCACGCAGTTTATACTCGTCATTTCTGATATGCTAGTATTCTTTTTGCACGTATCATAGTGCACAAACCCAGTGTCCAAACCTCACGACAAACAACCACAATGACTGTCGCTATACAGAGGCAGTAGAAAAATATAATACAATAGAACAGGCAGGAAAATATATGTAAAATTACTCCTTAGAAACATCGACATTTATTGCAAAATCGAATCTGGAAAGAAAGAACGACAACTCACGCGCACACCAGGCTCGGCTCCAGTATAGAGCGGCTGTACAATGATTCTATTTAGTGCACAGTTGTATGCAAGCGGTGTACGTATCGTTCAAATAGACCCGCGTGAGACATGGTGACTGAGGAACGGATCAATTGCTGGTCATACACCATCCTCAATATGATTGCGTATACTATAACCATATTTGTCAAGAACACGTGTTGCAAACTTTCGAACAGCTACACACAATGCAGAGTGTACCTGAATCCTTGGCGAACTAGTCGCTGTAGTTTGTAGTGCCTGATCGCAAACTGAGTGTAGTTACTACATACTCGACCTATAATGGGAAATATAAAACTCCATTAAGGTGGAATATTAGATGACAATATTGAAGTTGAAGTTGTCCCGCTTGTCATATACTGCTGTTGAATAATTCTCATTTTCTATAGTTACTAGTACAGTGGTACCTCCCAATAATAAAAGATTGGGACAGCAATTTTTTCTCATTATTCAGAGGTTTTCTTTATTGAGAGGTATATTGAAGACATAGCAGACACAGATATAGTTTTCAAGAAGTGTGCTGGAAATTTCATACATTTTTGCTAGAAATTCCTGCACATTTAGGAAATTTCGGGCACATTCCCCCCATACATTATGATATGGGTTTCTAGCGTGCATGCGCGATTGCGCGTGTGATATTACGTACACGAAGCCATGCCCACTTTTCATTAAATAGAAGCATTATAATTGTACTTGGGACAGCACTATGGCTACGTTATTTTGTAGCTGAGAGGTTTGCTAAAGGGAGGTTTGTATTATACTATAATGGTAAAGTCAGTTGGTACATAGAAATATGTTCATTATAGAGAGGTTTTCGCTGTTGGGGGAGTTCATTATCGGAGGTCCCAATGTATATCTAAGTACGACAGTTGTGTTTCACATTCCGTAGTTTTCTTCAGCTGGAGTTCGTGGGGCATTATGTCATATATCGCTGATTGAGATTCAGCCTTATAAAAGATCATCAATATATTTATATTTAAATTTGCCACTATGGCGCACAATCCATGCCCATTGGAATTCCCACTACTATATTGCCTATAAAAACATAAATGTTATCTATCATATATTCCACATACCCAACAAGCTGTTCCTCAGTTATGCTATGTTTAGTTGACGATGATGGTGGTATGTTTCACCAACATGCTCTTCCAGCATGGTCGGCTATAAGGAACACACTGTCTCTCACCTTGTAGGCCTCATTAATTAAATACCTTAAGGCTTGCATGAGCAAATCATGAGGAATAGTCGTATATAGCGTTGAAAAATCATAACTATCTAAATGCTTGCCAATACATGTAAAACAGCACTTCCAATAAGGCAGCATTTTGTCTTCTCTGGAAACGATTCCAAGCAACAAAGACTAACCAAGACAGATTTGTATGGGGCCTGAATTTGAACTTCCTCTTGTACACAAGGTTTCAAGAAAGTTACCTTCTGAATGGAAACTTCGAGACTATATGCATTTCATCAAGTCGATACCAGGCTTTAGCTCTGAGCTTGATCAGATGAGTCTGAAGTAAAAACTTGCCAGAGAGGAAAAGCCATGTTTTGCTGGCTTTAAGGAGGGTATTGTTTTTGATGAACAAGAGCCCGAAGTTGCTGGATTTTTTCAAGGGGATTTGTTGCAACAGGCAGCTTTCTGATCTTGAGAGTGAGCGTTCTACTAACCAGCAGCATCCTCCTAACGGTACTCACATGCTGGTTTACACTCCTCTGCACAAAAATTAATAATGTGCTACGCAGTTATTATTGTGAATTTTACCTGTACGTGAGAGGGAAACAATCAGCTGGATTTACCTGCAGCAACTCTACAGGGGTAAAATAGCTCCTGCTATAGTGGCTTATACATACACCTTGGAATGCTAAACCAGGAGCATGTGGCAGACAATGAGGTAGCAAGGCAAAGGCAAACCAAACAAGTCAATTGGGTCAGTTTCACTTTGATAATAGTGGATTGCAGACTGGCCGAATAGTACACTGACCCAACTGCACCCAGGACAACTCTCTTCTTCCAAGGAAAAAAAAGAAGAGCCGCCCCAGGTGGGATTCAAACCCCCGACACTCTGCTTTCTAGGTGAGCACTCTACTAACTAAGCTACCAGGGCAAATCAGCTGGTAGGTGTACAAATCTTCAACACAAGACCATGTGTACCATGCAAGGATGTGTGTTGGTTTGGTTGCGCAAGTAAATTGGAATACTTCCAACCACAGCCAAAATGACAAGCACTAAAGTGCTAAACCATGGCACACTAGTCAAAATGCACTGCAGCACCAACTGGGCTGTAGACTGCTAATTGATGGGGTGGGCCACGCTGTCAATTCTCTAGCTTGCTGCCTGTCATTAGAGACATTGCGGGACTTGTTACTTGCCCTTCTTCGTAGCCTCCACAGTGCACAACACATAAATGCTCTTAAGATAAGTGTCTAAGCTAAAACCAAAGGTGTTCTTCCAGATACCTGACAAAATTTTTTTGACAGACGTAAAAGTAAAACTTGAGGCCATGATGATAAATGTCTGACAGTATGTAAGAAAGGGGCTTTGCAACCTTTATGAATTTCCTAGTGGGTCAGGGTGGGGGAGATTTATCACCCGCAAATACTCGGGTAAATCACGTAATCAACCACGTGGCGCGCGGGGAAGCTGGCTCTTGCACGGTCTGAGTGTAGAGAGATGTCTATCTTGAACATTATAAGTGCATATCTGAGGAGGAAGTAGCTGCACGTAACAAGGAGGTTGAGGCTGTAGTCGTACGACAGCAGAAGACCAAGCAGTACCACTCCTACTCAAGCAAACAACGAGCTGACAACGGAAGATACGCCGCTCAGCATGGTCCCACGGCAGCAACACGACAATTCACAAAAGAGCTGGGACATCCAGTCGTTGAGTCAACTGCACGCAAGTTTCGCGATTTATATTGCAAGGAGTTGGAATCCAGCTGAAAACGACATGCTGAGTCTCTTCCTACCTAGTGTGTAACTGTTGTATGATCATTTGAAATCACACAAATTCATTCCTCAGTATCACTTTAGGTGTTGGGAAATCGCATGATTTTGGTCCAGCATTAATAAATACTTTCACGGTATTCAAGAAAGTTTAGTTTTCAAAATTCTTGTTGTTGTTGTTCAGTTTCGACAAGCGTATCTCATAAACCAAGAAAGATACGGAGATGAAACTTTCCACAAAGATTGGTATCCATGACAGGTCGTGCAAGAGCATTTATTATTTTGTTTACAAGTAAACAACAACAAAAATACCCCCAGGCAATACATTATGATAGGGACCAATAAAGTGTGCTAACGCTAATATCCAGAGTGATAAAACTTTGTACACATATGCTACCAATCGTTGGTATCAAAATGTAAACATTACAAGTTTGTAAACAACAACAAACAGCCTCAGGCAATAAAAATATGTTTGTGCCTATAACTTGCTTATTGTGGGTCCTCTAAGAATGAAACTTGGTACACTGATGTACCATGATTAAAGCTCATCGAAACAGATTTTACAAGTTTGTAAACAACAGCAAACAGTCTCAGGCAATTAAGTGCTGTGTTTCCTATAACTCGCTTATGCTGCGTCCTCTAACAATGAAGTGAGTGCTTCTCCCAAGACCCCTAGAAAATCTTTTCGGACAAGTTCGGGCACAAAGTGGAGGGTGTGAATCCCTACTTTTAATTGTTGGGTCTGCACAGTCTCTGAGAATCATGGGATCACTTGCTGTGAGGAGAGCTCTAGTAAGAAGAGGTGGCTATTTCATAAAATAAAACGTATTTGACTTGGTCCTGTACTCCACACTTGTTAAAAACAGCTTGAACAATATCCTTGGTCTTGAGCATCGCCGTCTTAGTTAGATATTGTGTGCGAAGCTAGGTCTTACACATCATCATAGAAACGTCCCTAAACTACACACGTTTCTAATCCGATATCTCCATGGACAGACAGAGAGACGCACACACAGACCAAGTAAGTACTGTAACCCTCACTGCACATGTGTGCCGAGGGTTAATTATTAATGCATCCACATACCTCACTGCGCATGTGTGGCTATTGCATCCACATTACCATAATTGTATATCGCTGCATGCTGTCTAACCATGAAATCCAAGAGGGATAAATCAAATGTAAGAATCTAGCATCATAGAAAAAAATACCTGAGAGATAGGAGTCACCACAAGTGCATCAAGTCCACTTTTGGAGTTGTAAACTTTCTGCTTAACAAACCCAGGATCAACAACATAATAGATACCGTCAATTGTAAGAGATGTCTCAGCAATATTGGTGGCAACTACAACCTTGGATAGAAGGATAACAATTTGGTGAACAATGTGTCTAATATGCAAAAGGCGGTGGTAGACTCAGACAATTGTAACTGTCAACTGAAAAAATCCCCGGGAAAGTCTTCATTATCACAAGAAGTCAGTAGACTTGTTTCTATTCCACTATAGAGCCCGGGCCTGTAACAGTTATACAAAAGGAGAACCACGGCACACCGTACCATAATCAGCAGTTTATTGACCCCCAAAACATGCAACCAAATTCACTGCATCGTTTTTTTAATTTACAAAATGTGTGTGTTGCATTGTACCGTACACTTAAGCCCTACTAGCTGGAGGAAGAGCGCTTGCGTCGGTTCCTCCCAAAGAAATTCTTCTCTCTTCGTGTTCTGGCTTTGCACTTGCCTTACTTACACACATCACTTGACTCAAGGTTAAGTACTGGCTCCTGATAAACTCAAGGCTCTGAGCTACTCTGGTATACACGTTATAAAACGATGGGCATGTTGAATGAATAAGCTGAGTTTTTGCTACCAGTTGGTTATAAGTGCATTAAAAGGGTACATGTAGCTGGTATTGGTAATTGGTGATTGGTGAATAAACATAAGCACTTTAGTTAAACCCACACTTGCAAAAAGCACTACATAATGGGGGCTACACTTGATACACATCCTCCCTATGACACATAACCTGTTTAAACAAATATAATATAGTTACCTTTCAGTAACTTCTTTCTTTAGCGTGGAATGCATACATGCAGATTGTCCCTTAGTGCATGTGTGGATCTTGTGTGTATTATGTAGGTCATGAAGCCCTTAGAAACCCTCCACCCTAGAGTTGGGCAGTTGGGCATTAATGTGCCATTATTGTGGCACTAAGCCAGTATTGCTGTGGCTCTTCACAAAGACGCTCCCATAGTACTGTTGTAGCTAGGCGCCAGGAACTTTTTTGCACACGTGCAAAATCATTTAAGTCTCAAATGTATGAAAGTTTAGTAGCAGTAGTAGCGAGGCTGCTCAGGCTCGTAGCGCTACATTGTGTGTCACTGGGATAAGCGAGTCTAAATCTACCACGGAATTATTGGTTACACCAAAACGTCACAAGAGTGAGGGTGGCTGGAGGGAAGTGGACAGTTAGTGTTCATTCAAAGAGGAATGGAACAAGCTGATTTTTTTCATCACACACACCATTCCAATTCAAGTAGCTGCCTCTGTATCGTTTGTCTAAATGTTCACTCAGTACTCTAGTACTTATAGTATATAGGGATGACACGTGTAAAATTTCCTCCACACAAGCTCTATATTGTCGCCACGTTCACTCACTGACATGAGTTTGTTTAGTGAATGGTGTAAAATGTGAGGACAATGGTGAAGGGGTTCCATAGAAGGCCAAGAACACAGCATTGTAAAACATGCAAATGTGGGGAAGTACACTCCACATGATGTAGTCACAACTGAAAACCAAGGAGTGGGCAATACCTGCTTATGAAGTAAATTATAGCTGCGTATCATACGAGGACGCGACAATACTGGACTTGGGTGGAGGAAACTTTACACGACCAAGCAATGTCAGTTCGTATTTAGCCATCATCCATTGTCATCCCTGTCTTGTCTCTTTGTACCATCCCTATATTCACCATTTTTAATTTTTTATTTACTTGTTTAGTTAAGGGTCCATACCAACAAGCAACAAAGCCATAAATCATTTGCAGAGAAACCTGCGTAGGCTAAGAGAAATAAGTATGTGGGGCTGTGTGTTGCATTTAAGAAGGAAAGAAGCACCATATTAGTGCCGACACAGTTGCTTAAACTCGTAAGGATCATAATGCCAGAAGTGTCCATTTTCAGCAGCGGAAGACATCATGGAATTTGCAGGCTGGCAGATCTGGATTCTTCATACGTATATGCAAATAAGTATTTGAACAAAAACAAGTAGGGTATATTGTGTAAAGACTTGTGTAAGGGACATTACACACAATAGTCAGCAGCTAGTATGCTAAGATGTGTTTGATATACTACCTACTACTGTTGGGCTCTGGCGCACCATGCCGCAAGAATAGAAATGGATTCTATCGTCACGATGTGGCAAAGCGGCAAGCCCGATGGGGCAATGTGACATTATTGTGAACCTAGCCTTAGTTGATGTGCCAATAACTAGAGAGAGCATTTTATCCCTCAGCACAAGGCTGCCTAGGTACATAGTCCACAGTTGCTTGTTCTCCACTGGCAGCATTTTCTGCAACGTCATATACCTTTAGGGCTTGGGGCTCTAAGCCATGCTGTGGGTCGTTTTTGTAGGCCTCAGAGGCACAGAGCTATCACATTTAAGGGCTGGATGGTGGGCACAGCCGTGTTGAGCAAATCCCGGAGGCTTTGTGACCAAGATTTAATTCACTTTGTAGAGACCTGGTTCATCTTCGAATTGGAGGCTACCCTTTGTTGCTGGAAAAAAATGAAAAGCACTGAAGTGCAAACCCTCGGCGCATTGTGACGCGCACACGTAAGTAAACGCATGCGCAGTACCACTAATTGATGGGATGGGTTTACTTTTAGCTGTTACTCGTGTCTCTTGCCAGCTTGCGCAGAGTCTGACACTGGCTAACTACACTAATAGATAGGATGCGAGAGGCGATACACGCCCTGCGTTGGATCTTCTGGTGCCTCCGAGGTACGCAGAGCATGCGGATCGATCAGACCGTGGTAAGCCTCTAAGCCATCCCGTCCGTTGTGTATTTGCATATTGGCTTTTTCGCGCTCTAGCTTTGCAACGGAGCAGTTTCAGAGAAAACCGTTCGAAATTTCTGACCTTCATTGCCCGTTAAGTAGGTCATATCCTTTGTGAGACGAACAAACACTCTAGAAGTGAGATGTAGAGTAACAGACAGACAGACAGACCCAACTACCGTACCGTCGTTGCATGCGCGCCGAGGGTAATAAGTTTGACAATGACCTGTCTCAAACCAATAGTCTACTCTCCTTTATATAAGACCTGTCATCAGAAAACCCAACTTATCCTCCACTGGAGATCCTCCTGGACTACAAAGCCTGTGTGTTTGTATGGTAACCGGTTGAGATACCTATCGGGGGTGAACCTCTACCTTTCATTCAGGTAAGCAATTGTTTCCACTTCTTCTAAGTGTTCAAGACAAGACCGATGATATTTTGTGACGTGCATAATGCCAGTTTTAATTTAAAAAGTGTTTCTCCCGGGCATAAGACTGGTTTAGAATGGGGTCCAGACATGCCCAACAACCACCCCCATCCTTAATTGGTTCTTCCCCACCCATTGGAAAGGGGAGGTACATAGTGGTTTACAGGGTTGGGAATGGGGTGCTACCAGCTAACAGTGAGTTAACACCTAAAGGTAGCAAGTAAGGCAATGCCAAACGTACTTTCCTATATTTACCTTTCTAGTGCCAGGTGGTGCAGGATCAAAAATTCTTGTTTGCATTTCACTTGGAAGTGCGGAGTACACGGGTAGTATTATAAGTTGTGGTACTTCAGGACCAAGAGACTTCATCCTCTCATACAGGATCTCACATGCAGTGTCAATCTCTTCTTGTCCTGCATTGTTTAAAAAACAACTAGAGGAATGCGACACATTCCTCTGGAGAGGGAAGCGAGCAGTTCAGTATTTCAAGCGTGTTTTGCACGTATTTAGAATCATGTAGAACATTGTGGTATGTGCAGTGCCTGTCACACATAAATAAAGATTAACGACTAGGAAGGCTCGCTTTGCTCGCCAACTAGGATAATTTAAAAAAACATAGATGCAAACATGCTGTACTAGCAATACAAAACACACGGAGCAAATCGCTGAAACAGAAAAATTGGGCTGTCAGTAATCAGTGGCCTGGACTGGACTACTAGACTATGACTACTGGACAAACCTTTGCACCCAATTTTGGCCCTTTACATTCTGTGTGATTGGCAGGCCACCACAACCTTAGTGAAAGTCTGTACACAATACACAGATTTTCTACCTACGTACTAATGTTGTCTGACAGTAACTAGGGATATTTGTCTCTCTCATGCATAAGAAATACACCAAACACTAGCATTAGCGCAAGTAACTACTGACACTAGCCACAGGTTATACCATGAACATAATGTATCGCAAGCCCTGGCTTGATAACTACTTACACAGTAGGCTAGTAGCTAAAGCGCTAAAGCCCTATAGACATGTTTTGCTTATTATTCCTGTGCACAAGTCGTTCATACCCACTCTAGCACTGTGTCAATCAATTGTTCGAGGCGCTTACAGTGGTCGCTACAGAACTTACTGCATGGGCATAAAGGTTAAACATAATAACTACTAAAGTGTGGCAGCAAACAGCTCCTACCCAAAGAGACAGTTCTGGGCTAAAGCCAAAGATTGTGTGACACAAACTATTAATTACTACTGAGGTCCGTGAAAGTTTGTTTTAAAATGTGTGGGTTAAGGTAGTGCTGCATGCGTAATAAAGGTAAGAGGGATGGTTTAGATAGTCATAAAGCATGAGGGGCAGTTCATGCCTTTCTGGAACCAGTCTCCAGTAGTTCACTGCATGTGACTTTTCAATTCAAACGCATCGCCAAGGAACGAAGGTGGAGATGGGTTTAGTCTCCCAGCCACTCGGTGCTGCTCTAACAGGAAGGGAAAAACTCAAGATGGGGCTGCCATGATGCCTAGGGTAAGGTTTGGAAAGCTAATGTGCAACTACTCACAAATATGGCCAGCCACTAGCATTGCAAATCCATGCTAGCACACCACAAGGCCTTCAGATATGTCTCTGGTACCTGTCTTTCTTTTTTGGTAGCCACATGCACTGCTGGTCCTGTGCCATGTATTAATCTCGGTGCTCATATGAGTGAAAGCGTTCAAAATACCACTGGCAGTGCCTTTCATGAACTCAAACTAAAACAAAGTAGCAAACTAAAACAACAATAAAACTATTATTGTGATTTTGATGTTGGCTATTGAATACATTATGTATACAAACTGTCGTTCACATAGCTCTTACCAATTGTGAGTTACACTGACACATGTAGTATGCCATTATAATGTATTGCCTGGGGCAATTTTGTTTACAGTAAACAACATTGTTTACAAACAACTAAGTACCCACAGTCTCTTCGCATTACAGATATCTATGTTCCTACAAAGTTTCATGTCCATACGTCATTTCGTTTTTGAGGAGTTCGTCTTGAAGAAGAAGAAGATGATGAACAAAACTCCCTATCATAACCCAATAATAATGCTAGGTACCATGCCCATCACTACTACCATACTTAGTGATAAGGGGACTTTTAAAAGTGTGTTTACTAGCTATCGAGAGAAAATCAAATCACCAAAGTGGCCTTTAGACAGCTACATAAACACACCTGTGAGAAAAACAAGGATGTCACCAGGAGGTTCTGTCAGATGTATTTGCATCACAGCAATAAGAGCAGCATCCAAATAATCAGATTCTGATTCTTTTGTGTAAAGAACATCCACTGGATGCGTTCGACCAGGAATTGTAAAAATTGGCTGGAATTGAAAAAAGGAATGGTATATTAACAATCACCAGTTTAATATGAACAACATTTTTTCTCATTTTATTGTAACAAACACACCCTATAGAGTAAGCCACCGATAATCGGACGGCATGTATTCTCGGACGCATTTGTGAAGTCTGTGCAGGACTAGATTGGCTACTGTGTATACCAAAGTGTAGTTCTTGGTCATAAACTGTTGTATAAAAATATTCGCTCTTATCCGAGCTTTACCGTGGGAATGACGTTGCCGTAAAGTTACGATTCGGGCACAGCCAAGTTCGGACAAGGCCATCAAAGGTAGGACAGTCTCCCAAAACGGGAACAGTATGAATGATCCAAGCGAGTGTATGCTCGATTTGATAGCTGTACCTTTTGGCTATGCAGCGACCCACAAATGGCCCTTTTTTGTCTTCGCTCTTTTTGCTCACGAAAGCGCAAATAGGCGGGGTCGCGTAAGCCGCGTTTTACGCGAAAAGCAGTTTTCGGCATGTTTCTTCTAACACACGCGCCTCGTTCTTCTTGCCTTATATTAGATGCCTGCACCACGATTTCCGTTGTTGTAAGATTAAAATATTTTGTAATTACCAATAAAAAGTTAGATCTCACAAAAACGGAAATCGTGGTGCAGGCATCTAATATAAGGCAAGAAGAACAAGGAGAAAATTTTATAGCTTCATCCGGCGCGTGTGTTAGAAGAAACATGCGGAAAACTGCTTTTCGCGTAAAACGCGGCTTACGCGACCCCGCCTATTTGCGCTTTCGTGAGCAAAAATAGCGAAGACAAAAAAGGGCCATTTGTGGGTCGCTGCATAGCCAAAAGGTACAGCTATCAATCGAGCATACAGTCGCTTGGATCATTCATACTGTTCCCGTTTTGGGAGACTGTCCTACCTTTGATGGCCTTGTCCGAACTTGGCTGTGCCCGAATCGTAACTTTACGGCAACGTCATTCCCACGGTAAAGCTCGGATAAGAGCGAATATTTTTATACAACAGTTTATGACCAAGAACTACACTTTGGTATACACAGTAGCCAATCTAGTCCTGCACAGACTTCACAAATGCGTCCGAGAATACATGCCGTCCGATTATCGGTGGCTTACTCTACAACATTTCCTTTGACGTAAAGCACGCCTTCAGTGCAGTGGACATGTGTTGAGGCACAGCTACATAGCTACAGCAGTAGGTATCGTTGTAGGCCAGCACTAGATCCCATATTCACTATCCTACAGCCCCTGGTGCCTTCAACACTAGCAGGAAGGTAAAACAGTGGTTATATATCTGGGCTGACCAGTAGAATGAAGTGCACATCAGATTGGAGCTTGCATTTCTTGACATTTCTGTCAATTACTCAGCAATAATACATGCTATGCATACAAGGAACACATTAAATGATCCTATGTTTGATAAAAAGTGATTACGTGGATATCTAGTCATGTGACAGCAATGTGAAAACAATGGCCACTGAATCAAGGTCCTTCAGAAAATTAGTTAGGTTAAGACTGGGAGTTAAGATCTGAAATTGTGACTATGCTGAGGATGGAGCAAGGTCCAGAGAGAGGCCTAGAGTCACAAGGTTAGCTCGCTCCTGCTCGCCAATAAAGCCAGTGTAGAAATTAACCTGTTGGTATCGCTATTTTGTTGTCTCGTTGCGCTTGGTGGCAGAAAACGTGGTAACAGACAGACGGAATGACAAACCAAGTGCTATAACCCTCACTGTGCATACACGACGAGGGTTAACAATAACTATGAAGTGTAGCCAGGTATCATCGTTGCACAATTAAATTTAGGCTTCGCTTAACAGTGATATGCAACACGTGGATAGCAGCTCAGTGTTCTCCCCAGGCATAGTTAGGCATGTCGGGCCGCCGTGCCTTCCTAAAGCACGAGTTCTAATTAATGCACATATTAGAGCCCGTGCGCACGTGTTTCTAATTAGTGCACACTAGCTCATATGCGTAGAACAGTCCGAGAGTCTAGCGAGCTGTAGTGTGTGGTTCCGTGGAGATTAACACTGCGAACTTATTTTAGTATGATTCCCAACCAAGATAAGGATGATTCAGAATTTGATGAGACGACGATTGACCTGAACGCCGAAGCAGTTGGAGCAGATGACGAGGAGTGTCTGTCTAGTTCGTCTGTAAGTGGTCGTAAACGAAAGGTTTCAATCTGTGAAAGAAGCAGAAACCTTGCCAAGCGACGACGCGAAAGCTTGGCATCTTCGTCTAGTTCGTCATCTAAACAGCGCACGAGTGGGATTAGTACAGCCTGGAAAACTGAATTTAGCTGGCTTGAGGAAACAGACGGTGATGGCATGGTGTGCACTTTGTGTCGCAAGTTATCTCGCCGCCCGCAAAAATGCGTCGCAGGAAAGGCTACATGGGTCGATTTACCTTGTAGAACAATCAGAAGGTCCGCACTAGTGGCCCACAAGGAGAGTAAAAGTCAATGTTCAGATGGAAGTTGCACTTCAGGCTTCCAAGAGGGATGGTGGCATTGAAAGAGCGCTTGATTCTGTAGTTTCAGCACAGAGAAAGGCCTTTATTGCAGCTTTGAAATGTATGTACTTTCTGAACAAAAGTGAAATGGCTTATACAATTAATTTTGTGCCTTTGCTTCATCTGGCCAAGTCATTAGGTGTTCAGTATCTTAATGACTTGTATGTTGGTGAAAATGATGCGTATCGATCAGAGAGGTTTGTCCAAGAGATTGTATCAGCTCTTGGTGAGGTTGTGGTCAGAAAGATCACAGTAGCACTGCAAAACTCACCATTTTCTGTTCTTATTATAGATGAGACAACGGACATGGCTGTGATGAAGCAGCTAATCATATATGGTAGATACATTGAGGATGGTGCAGTGCAAACACGGTTTCTCAGCATGATACAAATCCGTGATGGCACTGCATCAACAATCGTTGAAGCAGTGACTATGATCGGAATCTAGACGTAAAGGGAAGATTGTGCGGTCTTGGGAGTGATGGTGCTTCGGCTATGCTCGGTCGCAGAGGTGGAGTTGCAACTTTATTGAAAGCCAGTTCCATTCATGATTGCCAATCACTGTGTAGCCCACCGTTTAGCCCTGGCATGTGGACAAGCATCAAACGAAATTCCATACCTCTTGAAATTTAAGGCAATTCTTGATCAGCTTTATCGTTTTTACGACAATTCCCCTGTTCGCACAGCTGGGCTACACAGCATTCAAGAAGTTCTAAATGAGCCAACCCTGAAACATGTGTTCATGCTCATGGTCTAGCTGTGTTTGTGTGAAAATATGAATTCGTAGCCACTCTCCACATGCTCTCAGATGTTCTCCCCCCTCTCGCTCAGCTATCTAGAGCTTTTCAGACTAAAGATATTGATTTTTCCATGGTACGATCGCTTGTAGCTGCCACTATAGCAACAATTCACACTCTGAAGGACCACCCAGGGGAGCATTTTCATAGTCTACCTGAGGTACTCAAGAATCTGCAGCAGTTCAATGTCTCAAACCCTTCAAGCGAACAAAGAGAGAGTTATGTTGAGAAAATTTACAAGAAGTACATGCCAACACTTCTGCAACATCTTGAAAACAGATTTCCTGATGTAAAGGTCATTGAAGCATTCTCAATCTTTGATGTAAAGTCACTTCCAGAAGACCCAGTACAGCGCCAGTCAGCTGGAAAACCACTCCTGGACACTTTGTGTGCTCACTATGGACCACATGGTGTAATAGCTGGAGATTCTCTGAAAGCAGAGTACCCATTGTTTGTCAATTCCGTAAAAGCCGATGATAGACTGCGAAAATTATCTACCAAGGAGATAATGATAGCTCTAGTGGATAACTCTACACTACAGGCAATGTTTCCAAACTTATCTCTGCTACCGATGTCCACGGCGGACTGCGAACGTGGATTTTCAGCTCTTCAAAGGATAAAAACAGACCTTCGAAATCGACTTAGCAGTAAACTAGGAACTACCTGCTGTCTATTTCAATCGAAGGTCCATCACCTACAGACTTTCCATACGATGAAGCTTGTGATATTTGGGCTGGGTGGCGAAATCGTAGAATACAGGTTTAAGTTCGATTTTGTAAATGTTGTAAATTTTGTAAACTTCTTTTCAGTTGGCTAAAATAGCACAATGCACTTATGCATGCATGTGCATGAATAAATAGCAACTCAAAACGGCTTGACAAGCCTTCACAAAATCCTGGAGAGAACACTGTAGCTAGAATACCGTAGCAACAGCTTGCATGTTCACATTCTTTCTACTGTATTAGGCTAATGTACCCTACATATCATTACTGCACATTCTTTGTTTGGTGTGCGGTAATCCACTTGGCTTCACATAGTCATGGAACACGATAACCTGTGTATATGCATAGATGTCCACCAGAGATCGCTATTGTTCATAATTCGTGTCGTTTCGTTCGGGACTAGTTTTCATGCAGTCTTTTCGTTGGCTAGAGGGCAGAGCTAATAATCTTGCATGCAGTTTCCCTGAAGCGGGGCAGGTATGTGCCAACAGGACGCAGGGCGTAGCTTACTGGCAAAGTGTTGCTTTCTTCATCCTCTGTCGTAACTGTAAATTACACTTGGTTGGCCGAAAAATACACGAGGCTTACTCGTCTGAGAAGCTTTACACACTAAAGTACACTGATGCATGAGATGTAGTATACATTTGTGTAGGATTAACCAGAAATGGCGTAGCAAAATAACTACAGAAAAACCACTGGAGTACCAGCATAAAATGATATTCAGGTCGTGGCAGTTATCAAAGTCTCTGCTACTGGGCTACCTCTGTGTCGTTGTAAACATGATCCCCAATGTAATACTTGAAATGAAAACAGTTAAAGAGCAACTTACAGCCTCGAAGAAGTAGGATGAGAATTTCACAGCATCAAGTGTGGCAGATGTAACAATCAACTTTAAATCAGGCCTCTTCTTCACAGCATTCTTCATTAGCCCAAAAAGAACATCGGTGTGTATCGTACGCTCATGTGCCTCATCTAACATAATCACAGCATACTGTTTCAGATCAGGGTCAATAAGACATTCTCTTAGAAGCATCCCATCCGTCATATATTTTATCACTGTCTCTTGTGATGTAACATCTTCAAATCTGATTGTGTAGCCGACCTAAATGTAGTTAATGTTACATCTTAGGCAATTATTTCTCACTTCTTATACATGTTTCTTTGTACAAAAGTACATTGCAATTTCTGAAACCTAATTTGCATTACTGCAAGTACTTATCTTTCCTAATTCACGTTTAACTGTACAAGGCACAGTTTAATTGCAAAATTTGATAGTCTCAAGCAAAGTTCACAGGGTGTATTGCATCATCCCTACAGTGTGTGATTACAAAGGCTCTACTCCTTCAACTTTTCCGTAATAGATGAGGCAGCCATATTACCAGACTGATACACCACCCATCCAGAGCACTGAGTGGAGCAAGCACTAGATGCACATGCAATAATGCCGATGTTTGTATTATCTGTCAAACACCCCTTTACTGCTATAGTTTAGAGGTATGTATTGTTGATTGTTGGACAAACCTGACACAAAAATATTAGAATGGTCTCTAAACTTACTTCTTGGCCAAGACGGCAACCAAACTCCTCAGACACTCTTTTTGCAACAGACATGGCTGCTACACGACGTGGTTGTGTGCAGCCTAGCATGCCACGAACACATAAGCCTTCTTCAGCAAGGTATTGTGTTATTTGTGTAGTTTTTCCACTCCCAGTTTCTCCAATCACAATTAAAATCTGATTATCCTTTACAGCCTGGAATAATATAGGTAACAGTCTATTAGGCATAAATTACACACTTGCGCATACAGTGTAATAATACTTTCAGGTACATACTGTGTAATACTATATAAGAAACTGGTATTAAGGGAATGAGATGGCATTTTGTATAGTCGTTGTGGTCTATTGCTTCTATTTACGTATAAAGCTGATTATAACCCCCTCATTTCCGGGTCATCATATCCTCCAGCTTCCTACTAGTTTTTAGCGAATGTAAAAACCCTGTGCCAATTTGTTCCATTATCAGTCCGGGCTACCATAGATAATGCTTTGTGTGTGTGACAACAACGAGGTAGCAAGGCAAATGCAAGGCAAATAAGTCAACCGCACCCAAGAGAACTCTCTTTTCCAAAGGAAAATAAGAGGATTTGACCCATTACACTCTACCAACTGAGCTACCAGGGCAACTCACCTGGTAGGGGTTTGAATCTACAACACAATACAGGACAAAGCCAAACCTCAAACCATTGCACTCTCACTCAGCTTGTAGGAGCTAGCAAACCGGGGTAATTAAACCACCAGACACCCAATTCCAAACTGAGTATAAGCATATGACAACCAGGCAAAGGCAAAGCGACAAGTCTTCCTTGTGTGTATCTGTCAGTGTGTAGTTCTGTCTGTCCCCCTTTTAGCAGCAACCTCGCTCTTTTTATGCCTTGATCACCCCTTGAATATGAAAGAGACAAGCCTATCAGAGTGAATGCGACATGACCAATGAGATGGGAAGTTTGTAAACAATTGACTAGAATGGACTGAACTGGATTACTGGAATGACCATTCACATCTATAGCTAAGTAAGATCGTGTATAAGACAAAGATATAAAACAGCAACCTGGAAGTAAGTGCCAAGCCTAAAGTTAGCATCTAAAGGTGGAATGTTGCAAACTATGCAGTAAGTTTTGCTATACATAATGTTGTCTCCAAACCCACACACAAGAAATAATGACAGGACTACAGACAAGGCAGTGACGTGCCAACCGTATAGAGGAAAGTTTGTAGGGAACCGTTTTCATATGTGACAGGCTCTGAGAAAACGACCCTTATGGCGCAAATTCGCGAAATATATTTTGTGCGCTAGACCGAAAGTCCTACAAATCCTCTATAGTTTGCTGTTTGTTTCAGGGGCGTAGCTCGTTCCGTTGCGAAGTTATGAGCACACGCGCAAGTGCCATTCCACTGCATCTAACGTGAAAAATGCCGTCTAAAGTTAAACTTCCGGGATAAAATCTCAACCTCCGTATTCTCGTGACAAGTCCGTGTTACAACATTACACGCGCGCGTGCATCCGGCCGCATTCAATAGGTAAACGTAGTAAAGGGGAATTCCCGTTTACGTGACTCCGTAAAAGGTTTGATTATTCCCGTGTCACGTTTCCTTGTAATTCCGCGTAACGATGGCGCAAGTGACGGCGTTGCCAGATATCCAGGACCATAACTACGGAACGGAACGGAGTTAGTGTGTCAAATTTGTGCAGATTATAGACGATAGACAGAGGTACTAAAATACGGGGAAAAACGAGAATCCGTAAATTATGTTGTTCGCCGCAAAACCGCTGCTACTACAACAATACTAAATGCGCCAGAGCCTATCACATATAGTCGACACAAGAGCAATTTTCGTCCATTTACATTTCGTACAGGGATGTTTTTCTGCTTGCCTTTCACCAACAAATGATTGTCATTGAAAGTTTGCACTATACGAAATGTTCACCTGACATACTCACCTGCACTAAGTTTTCATGTAGCTTGTATATTGGAAGACACTGCCTCTGTTCCAGGATAGAAAGGTTTGTCTTTTTGCCATATGCAGCTCTAACACCACCAAAAGAAACTCTCTTCCACTCAGGCATTTCAGGAGGAGCAGCCAACTGCTTGAAGTCATTAGCTAAGTATCGTTCTGTGAAGTGACGATTTTCAGGTGAATTTTATTGCCATCTATTGTAATTATACCACAGTTACACATATTCTCAAAGGTGTGGCCTACAGATTAATCAACACGCTTGTATAGGTTAGACGCAGAGCTGCGGGAACTATGTGATTTAGTGAGCCGAGTAGCCTTGATCTGTCGGCGTCCCGAGCGCAGCGAGGGCGCTACTAAGGGCTCCGAGGATCACTAAATCACGTAGTTTCCCAAGGCGACGCGTCTAACCGGCTTAGACTACAGCACAAGTCCGTCCCGCTGCAGTGTCTGTTGTAGGCGTTGCTGCCCTTCAGGATCGCGCCGCCTGGCCGTTGGCACGCGTTTTTCCCTGCACACTTTCTCTAGCGTCTTCCTAGCTCTCTAGTAGTCATGCGCTGCTGCTAGAAGAGCCTGTTCCTGGTTTCTTTGTGGGAAAAAACGCTCCAGACGCTCTGTTCGCCGTCCGCACACGTGGCGTCTTTTTTTCGATTTGAAGGCATGGTTGCCGGGGCTACAAATAGTTACCGCGGAAGAGGTAACTAACAAAAATAGTTACCTCTAAACTCGGAATCTGATTGGTAAATTGCATGTTACCGTAGTCTAAGTGATAGACAGGACATCATTCAAAGGGTTGTGTCTCGCCCATGAAACACTTCTTTACAACTGCTTATTTCTTGAAAACTTGATTACTTGATTAGCTGATCACAAGTACAAAATCGTGATGGAGTTTGGCAAACAATATCTGACCTAGGCACAGACCTAGACCTGCGTTAGCGTCATGTACACAGCACCGTGACTCTGCATGGCAGACAGCAGGGAGGGACAACTGAACTGAGGTAAATTTCAGAGCTTGCCTTCTTGGCTACATATTTTTTCACATCTACAACCGAGCCATCGTGAAAGAGACAGGTGTTCTGTCTGCTGTTCTAGGTGTTTGACTAGGCAGTGAAAATAACTGCTGTGCCCAATGTGTTCCAAAAGCAAACTTTTCGATGATAAATATTATTATGCAACAAGCTACCGTGGTAATTTAAATTAAAAACACCTGCACGGGTGTTTCTGCAAATAACCTCAGGACTGTTTGGGCCATGCCATTGGAATAATAAACACATCACACACACTTGCAATCAAACCCTAGTATACGTAATAAAACTCATATTACAAGTAAATTAAAAATCCTGCGAATTTAAAAAAAGAGGCATATAGGGATGGATAAAAAGAAAGGGAGACAAGATGAAGATGGGATACATGAAGTATGGTTAATGAATTGATTTGAGCACGCTGACACCCCCAACCCCATCACACAATGCCTATACTATTGCCTGGTGTGCTACTTTTATAGGGAATGTGGCATTATAAAAGGGCTATAGGTTACTAAAAGCAAGCACTCTTTCACCATCCCCCCGTTGTTTTTAGTAACATTTCTACTATTATACTGCCACAGTCCCATTAATTAAACTCCACTTGGACTCTATATGGTGTTGTTGTGATTTTGATGTTGGCTATTATGTATACAAACTTTCGTTCACGTAGCTCTTACCAATTGTGAGTTACACTCACACATGTAGTATGCCATTATAATGCATTGCCTGGGGCAAGTTTGTTGTTGTTTACAGTAAACAACTATGTTTACAAACAAATAAGTATCCACAGCCACTTCGCATTACAGATATCTACGTTCCTACAAAGTTCATGTTCATGTCCATTCGTTAGAGCTGGGTAATTTAAATCGCGCAATCTGATTGGTCCATGTGTGGACTCTACAAATTCGCATAGAGCAAATTTTCCGGACTCTAAATGTGGCGCATGCGCAATGGCTCACTTACGTTGGGCGGAGTCCCCCAGCGGTCTGCGAAGGTACTGGTAGAGGCGAGCCCATTGTCGGTGTCATCCCTGGGCCTCTCGCTCGACTTCCCAGCGAGAAAGCAGCACTCGTTCGCCGTTTCAGATGCACCGAATTTGAATTGCGTGCACGCGTTGCTATAGCTCTAAACAAGTTAGACGTCCATGGAAACTACGCGCATTAGAGCACCTTGGGGGCCCTACGTAGCGTCCTTGCTGCGCTCGAACGCCGACAGCCCAGGGCCCCCGCGGCTCTCTAATGCGCGTAGTTTCCTGGACTCGGCATCTAACTTATATTCATTTCATTTTGAGGAGTTTGTCTTGAAGAAGAAGAACAACAAAACTCCCAATCATAGCCCCATACATCTATGATGCTAGGTACCACGCCCATCCCTATATAGTACTAATCACAAAAACTATCTGTAACAAGCATGTGAATGTCATTATATTATCATAAGCGTCATGCCCCCTTTCCCCTTTGCCCAGAAAACAAACAATCCTCAAGCCACTGACAATTCTTCAGTTGCATGCATCTGCAACCTTGTGACAAACCTGAATGAAAAGGCTGAATGTGGAAAAGGGGCATATGAAGTATTTCTGCTGTGAAGGTGGGAAATGGCAGGGACAAGGGAGAGAGAGATAGGGCCAATCTTAGCCAAATTGCAGGAATACGACTGAGAAGAGCACAGCATTCGAAAGGTACTGCATGGCATTTTGCGGTGTGGGGGAGAGCATAGAATCTCAAGTGCCAAAGTTAGCGCCGTGAAATATGCTAGACCCTCCAAATGCCATAATTGTGGAGAGAGGCACCATCTCTTGCAAAAAAGGTCTTGTCCTGCATTTGGTAGGGTCAGAAATCAAGTGCAACAAGTAAAGGAGTCCAAAGGTGAACAGTATCGAGAGTCAGTTGTTGATGAAACCACACACTTAGCCACGTTGACAATTCAATTCCCAACTGGTGACCCTACAAGTCACATCTGATAGCCACATCAAGTTTCAAATTGACATTGGTGCTTAGTGCACTGTACATTTGAATGAGCTGAACTTTGCTCATGGTTTGTCATTTCACACAAGGATCACTGTGTATGGTGAGGCTGTTGTTGGAATGGTCTTCTGTTACAGGTGTGGGATACAGAGCTCTACTGCAACATGCAGGACATCCCACCACTACTTGGAAAATGCCTGCCTCAGAAAAATATTGTATATATTATTTCAACTGAGGCCTGCTCTCAGTACAGAAACCCACACACTCTTTGGATATGGTGTTGTTGTTTATAAGGTCAGTTATCATTTAACTGGAGATATTAGTGAGTTACACACTGTAGAGGGAAGATAGCTACTTCTCTGTGTTGTGTCAATTTTTCCAATCATGCTGAAGGAGCTCAGGATCAGAAGTAGAATGTGGCAAAACGAGCAATGTCTTACAAAATGCAGCCAAATTACCAAAGCAAGCTGGAGACCCTGAGTCTCGCTGCGAGTAGCAAAAATAGCCCAGCATCAATTAGCAGTACCCTGCATGCGTATACTTACACCGAGGGTTTGCACTTTAGTGCTTTCATTTTTACCCATATAGCGTCCTATGCTCAGATTGAGAAGGAGCTACCTGCCACTGTTGTCGAACATCTAAGGGCCGACTAGTACTGTCAGTCACTAATGGCTCTAATAATGAAGACACTGTCAAGTTACTTCTTGTTTCAAGGTGGGTTCTGTCTGTGTGTTGAGTCTCGGCAGTACTACCACGTGAAAGGCTTGGGTGAGGGGGTAGAGTTCACTGGTTATCAAAGATATGTTTAACCCACCAAGCCTAATTAGGCCAAGGCACCCATAATACAATGCTGGTTGGCTCTCCAATGGTACTGCCCTACATTTCTGCATATTTTTGCAGGTACTGCCTCATACCTTTTATACCATTTTATCTAAATACCGCTTTATGCAAGCCCGGGCGCATAACTTGCTTTGCTGGCCCCTCTGACAAGTGAAGCCTCAGAAGCCCTTTTTACTCTTATTTCTCCTCTTTCTTTTAAAAGCAAATGTGACCATTTCGAGCCATAGCAGAGAGGTGCATAAATAATGTAAACTGACCACCAATCATTGGAGACAGTTATTGAAAGGCCCTTCAAAACTTTCCAAAAAGAGTTTACATCTAGAAGTAAAATTATGGGTCAAAAACAAAGTATGTGACGTTTAATCAACACGAGTACAGTTTGTTACATACCTCCAGTTCCCGAACCACCTGGTACAGGGTCAATCCACGTTTTGCCTATGTCACGTGGAACATTGTCCATGTCAGCCTCTCTCTGAGCAGCTCTCAGTTCTCTACGTTCCTTCGCCAATGCACTTTGCGTAATAGCTGCCCTCTGCATTGACCCATCAGGATTCTATACAGGGATGAATTTTGTTCAATACAAAACCCGTATTGCATGCATTGCCAATTGGTTGAAATTGACTGCATAATGACAACACTAGAGTGCAGACACAATGCATAAAATTACAACTACAGATAACAATCAAGAGCCAATCACAGTTTAGAGGCTCTAAGTAAGGACACACACTAAAGTGCACGTGATTGCATGCAAAGAAAATGATAGATTATAATTTCTGGCACAATAAATTAACCCTCAGCGCACATGCACAGCAAGGATTACAGTACTTGATTTGTGTTGTCTGTCTGTCAATGCCTATTTCGGCACTGACCAACCTGCTCTGTGTAAGAAGTAAAAACATGGGCTATGCATCGAATCACGCATGCAATCTAAGAGTGTAGCTAGCCAGTGTCAGACTCTCATCGAGCTGTGCGAGCAAAAGACAACAGCATGAGGAAATGCATAGCCCAGCCCATCAATTGGTGGTACAATGGATGCATATGGGTGTGATGTTTGTTTTAGTGCGCCGAGCGTTTGCTCTTTGGTGGTTGTCGTTCTATGGTAGGTGCCCTATATCTGAACAACACAGCCTATGCACCCTTACATACAAGGAAAGAACTGTGTCAATTTGCAATTTATATTCCAGACCATGCGAGAAAACTCTGGGGCCAAGTTTTTGCTCTAGTGTCATTTCATCGTTCTCTCCGTTATATCCCCACCTCATTGTAAACGTTTTTGATGCTTGTTGAGGCTTTAGTGTAGAACAGAGTGGAGCTGAAGGAAGTGTTTAAAATTGTTTTTAAGTGACAAATGGTTTACGCATACAGAGTGTTTTATCTGTATACTTGTGTTCGCTCCTCCCTACACTATGAATTAGAATGTGACCCACCTAAACATATGTTTTGCGTTCTACGCAGCGCTTGATGGTTGCCCCTGCACAAGGAGGTAAGCTCTCTTACAGGCTATATATATATGCCCTACATATGGTGAAATGGACAACGCTAATCAGCTAACTAGGCAGATCTGCTTTGAGCTTCAAACATAGTATGCTACATTCTGTTAAAGGGAATGTGCCAGCACATAAGGGCTAAATTTAGAAATGTTACTAAAGATAGAACGAAACAATAGGGCCCAGTGCAAGAATGCAATTAAATTTCTGTTTCTAAAATTTACCCCTTATATAATGCCACACTACCTTTAATTAAAAAAAGCGATATTCTACTGATATTTCAGTTAGGAGTTAGAGAGGGCAGAGCCACTAACACCCCCTAAAGGGGAGTGTGGTGACGCTCCCAACATCTCCTGCATGGTTGGACTTTGGTGACAGGCGTTCCTCACAATAACAAAAAGATCATTCAGGGAGAGGATCATTGAACAGTAGAGTATATACGTAGCTTACCAGTGAAAAATGTTACTTTCAGTAACGGCTCCAGGGGATCAGTGCATGAAATAAAGTGTATTCCTTGGCACGCATGTGCAGCAAGGGTTACAGCACTTAGTCTATGGGTCTGTCATGTTTTAGGCACTACAGGAAACAAAGGTTGTTTTATAAGCATTGTACCCTAGTTTAGAGTTACAACGGCATAAATACATTCCAGAAACGACTAAGTTTAAGAGATATGGCACGAAAACAAGTGAGAAGCACAGTATGCATAATCAGCACCAGCTTACCTTAGCTATTTTAGTGGGATGTAGTGTGTGTGGGTTGTCTATCCAGTCTACAGTTGCCCTAAACACTACCTACTGATGCAGCTAGACCGCTAGATCGAGAAACTGACTCCATTGGGTGGCTCAGCCTATCAATTAGTTGAGCACATAAACGCTAACAATCTCAGTGCCAGGCTGTGCCACACATAGGTTTACAGACATTTTGCCAGCCTTACCGACAAAATGGAATTTACAAACCTTTATACTCTTAAAAAAGCACACAAGTTGCAACACTGTAGTTTAATAGTGTCACCTTAATAATCTGATGGGTGAAAGATGTAGTGAAAGTTTTGTTTGGCACACGTAGAAATGGTGGTCATCTTCTACTATCTCTATTTCAACATCTTCATCAGAGCCAGGATCTCTTCTCAGCTAATATACACTTTCTTTGTGTTATCCTGAAAAAAACACCAAAATCATATATAGTGATATCTTGTTGATATTATCTCTTTGGGGCCAAAGCCACTGGAGTGGCTTTTTACGTGCGATAACGCGGGATACAAGTGTAACGCGTTGCGTGAGTAGCATGTGCACCCGCTGCCTTCTATTTCTCTGGGATAAAGCTCCCTTTGCAACTGACCGCCTCTGCGACATTCTTTTTTTCCATATTACCAACGCTAATGCACAAATAGAGCATGCCACACTTTGGTACTCGATGGCGCGACGTGCGTGCGTGCGCGCAGTCCGTACGCGTGAACCGCGCAGACTCACAGGATGTGACATACTCCCCCTTTCTAGCCCGCACTGAAGGCTAACTAGTTCACCGCCTCCACAATGGCCAGGAAGTCAGTACTAACACGGAAGTTAGTTTTTCAGAGTGGTGTGAAAATGAGCATCCATCCAGCTTTTTGCATTGCGCGTAACAATGATAACGTAACTATAAATGGGCCCCACAGAGTTTTAAACACTATATAATAATTTCACGCCAGCAAATATCAACCATCTTGAGGTATCAAACTATACTGATACACAAGACATTTTTCCACGACTGTCCAGGTGCAAGCGATGAGCTGGCATATGTAAGATCTACCTGGCTCACCACTGATACAATTCAGCGAACCTAACGAAAAACACTGGGTCTTACAAGACTCCACACAAAGAATGTTTGCGTAAGTAGTAAGTAGCAATACAAGTTCATTTGGTTTTTTGCATGCACCAAATTTATACTGGTGTTACGATGAATGACCAAAGACACTTTCTGCTTAGGTAGCACAGACATTATCGGACTAGCTACTGAAGTTTCTGGTATACCCAGAGCAGTTTAGTATGGCACCCACGACTGAGCATATTGGGCCCCGTGATGATACAACTCGTGCCGTGTTCTTGCGCCATTAGTCAGCGATAGTAAACAGGACACTGCCGCCCAAAAACTGCGGTTAGCAAGGCGGGTTTCCCAGACACTATCTTACGGGAAATTGGTAAGCTGTTATGATCTGCCAACCTTCTTAGAATGCTATTTGACTCTAGCCGCAAACTGGTCACTTGAGCTACACAGTCACCTACATAATTAATACGGGGCAGTTGGTCACTGAAAATAAAAAAAACAAAAAAAAAAACACATAAGCACCGAATAAAAACAACCTCCCATTCCCAACCACCCACCACACCCTTCCATTAACCCCCCCCCCTCCCCCTCCCCTCCCCCCCCCCCCACCCCGCCACAGCATCGACGCTGACCGCACGACCTCTTTTCACCCCCCCCCGCACCGCACCCCGCAAGCACCCCGCTCCTCGCAAAATCGGGGAAGAACCCCGCTCCCCGGTCTCCCCAGACTTGACCACCGCGAGGCAAACCACCAGCCCCCCTCAACGCCCCCCCCCGACAACCCTCAACAACGGCTCTACAACCCCCTGACCCAACTCGCCTTCCAAAGAGAAGCGCACGACTGCTCTCCCACGTCTGCGGGCCAGAAACCCATACCCGGCAAACCTGGGGGCACGACGCACGCGCGAAACGGGGATGCCCTCGCGCATCCGCCCACACCACCGCTGCCCCCCACACCGATAAGAACGCCACAGGGACAGCTCGCGCCCGCCTGCGCACTAGCGCACGCAACCGATAGGGCAGCTGTGACATCTCACTTCCGCATCCCTCCCCCCCTCCATTTTTACATTTTCTCCCGGTAATGCCTGCTCTTTTCACGTGGAAGTGCTCGAGAAATCACTACACCGTAAGTCCTGTCTAAGTGTATTATGCTACGTACTACTGGACCGGAGGTTTGTAGGGGATTAAACAGACGGTAACTCAAAATAATAAATAAATCGATACGCCATGACATTTTGTGTAGGAATGTAGAGATCACAAGATGTGCACCTATTTGTTTGTAAACATGCTTGCGTAGCCCATGGGACACATGTGTTAGTGAACACTGCGAAATGAAAGATCGCTGTACACACACACTATTCAGGGAGCACTATCTAAAACCTGAAACACGGCAATACAAGAACAACGTAACAGCCTAGCAATTTTCTTTTAAAGTTACCACTCTGATCGTATCATGGAGGGGCTCACTCGCAACAGAAATTAGTTTTTAAACACAACAACAAACAGCCTCGAACAGCATCAGGTAACTGGTGCTTGTGCCTACAACTTGCTTATGCTGGGTCATCTAACAATGAAACTTGGTAAGCAGGTTAATGTACTATCGAGGAAACCATGTGAACTACGACAACACATAGGCCCTCATATGCTACTTTATATAGGCATTATGCCCCCAAAATTTTAGTACATTAATTGCACACCATATCATGTGATGCAGCAAAAACAATGGAGACAAGTAAATAAGAAACTCTTCGAAATAAAGTTTGGAATATAGGGAAGCCCATACAAAGCAGACAAGGGATGACCTATTGGCAATGCGATGCAATAATACAATTGGAATTAAACTGACATTCCTTGCTCCACACAAGCCCTATTTGTCGCCTTTACACTTACAGAATTGCTTAGTGGAATTGATGTTAGTGTGAAGACTGGCAAAGGGATTCTGTCCTAGAACAACTGCCGTTAAGTGAGCGAAACATTGAAATCTTGACTACAAAACTACAGTTAGATCCGAAACTGAGGACCTATAGCTAACCAGTCTTACGTGCATATAAAAGGAGTGCATAGAAGCAAATCATACGATACAGATCGACTCCGTGCTTTACGACAATAATAGGACTGTGTGGAGGAAAATTGACATGAGCAAGAAATCTCAGTGCTAGATGATGTAAGCCCTCATCCACTTGTACTACTAGATGCATGCACTAGAGGTCATCCTGTCTGTCTCCTTGCTTTTTATGGCAGCCCTCTATTCCACACTTTTAAGTGGATCAAGATTTTTACTTACTGGTTAGAACCTAGGGTTCACTGCACTGGTGTATGCACAACAGGTTCTAACAAACAAAACAGGTTTACACGAATATAGATTTCTAGACTAGGACTTTAACCTGGATAATCTGATTTCTCCAGCACTCCTGCTGCAATAAGTTGCTTTATAATCTCCCAACTCTTTCTGGTGATGTCATCCTGGTCATACCCCTGGCAGCCATCTTGTTCTATTCTCTAACCACTGAACGAGCCCTCTACAGGACGATCTGATTCCTAAGAGCCCCTCTTCTTTTTATCCATATTCCATGACAAAGCATGTGTGTTAACAGAAGCATTCAGATCCCGACCTGTAAACTGGTCCACATCTGTATGCATTACAAAAGATCATTAATTACTCTAAAACTAGCTATTTACATTTTATTTGGATGGCTAGTGCAATTGATGAGTCCATACGTATTATGGAGCAACTTGTGAAAATTCTTGTAAATAGCTATAATAGACTAACGTCGTCCAATGATCTACATTGACCTTTGTGCAACGAGTAGTACAGTTGCACCCTCCAGTAGTGCGCATGTGATCAAGTCACTGTCACCCTGTCTTGTATTAGAGACATTATACTGTCAGGGACAGGATAGGCGTCTGCTCATTAATACAAGCACTAAAGTGCAAAGACGTTTGGCTTGGGTACAGCTTATTCTATGATCGGGCTATTAGTATGTGTTTACATACTCCCTGTCTCCACACTGTTAGCTCTACGGAGAGTCTTGACACCATGCGGCTAGTTACAAGCCTTCAGGCACTTTTCATTTTTTACTCCACAGATTGTTTGAACGACAAAATGCCTCAGCCACTTTTCTTTCTTTACTCCTCAAAATTTTTTTTGGTTTACAAACATTTGAGAAGTGAAGAGGTAAATTTTAAGAAATGTGCCTGACGCTATTTGTTGTTGTTTATAAACATGTATTGTTGTGATTTTGATGTCGGTGATTGAATATACAATGTAGGCAAAGTTTCGTTCACATAGCTCTTACTATTTGTGAGTTACACTGACACATGTGATCCCATGAAAATGTATTGCCTGGGGCAATATGTTGTTGATTACTGTAAACAGTAAACAACATTGTTTACAAACCAAAAAATATGCCTATTCTCTTCGGGCTATAGATATCTACTGTGTTACAAAATTTTGTCCCTATACGTTGTGTGGTTTTTGAGTTACGCGAGTCGAAGAAGAAGATGAACAAAACTGCCTATCATAGCCCCATACATCTATGATGCAAAGAACCATCCCTATATACTAAGTACTACCACACTTAGTGATACTAGGTAACATGCCACCTACATAATACTAAGTAGTTCCACACTAAGTGATCTTTTGTTAACCCTCAGCATGCATGCTATAAACCATAATTTCATGCGCAGTGGGGGTTAGAGTAGTTGTTCTGTCTCTGTGTCTGTCGACGCTTATTCTGGCACTCAGGCTATGAGGTGGCCCATGAACGATACCAACGGCTTCAGAACTATGCGAACCTGAAGATTAAAATGGCGATTTTCCTGAAACGACTGCGTTCGAGAATATAGCCAATATGAAAAATTGCAGTAGGCTAATCCGCTTGCTCTGTGTTTCTTGAAGGAACAAGAAGTAACAACGAAGGGCATGTATTGACTACCGCATGCTATCTACTAGCGTAGCTAGTCCATGTCAGAGTCTCCACCAGCTAGCGTGGAGACCACGAGTACATGCATACTCTGTACTGTTGGCCCAACCCATGAAATACAGCGGTACTACAAATGCAGTGCGCCGAGGGTTTGCACTTCAGTGCTTTTCATGTTTTATCGATCATTACAAAAGGTATTAGCCCAACACTATGACATAGCTCTAAAGTGCCTTGATTTAAAGTGCCTTGATTGCATGTTCATTGTTGTTTAACCCCTCCCAAGCCATGGGCTACCCCGACACTAAAAAAGCTCTGGGAATTATTACATGAACTACCAGCATGCGCAAATATTGACGTATCCGCATCACACTTCAACGGTTCATGTAAACTTAAACAGTTTAAGGGAAAGCATGGATGTATATCTCCAGGACAAGGCTGAAAACAACAATGATGATCAAGGTAAACAATCAAATTTACCCCCGTTATTAGGAAGCAAATACAAGTGCAAAAAACTGGGGGTGTATGGTTAGTTAGCACAACATGAGGCTAAGTTCACAATATGTCCCATTGCCCCGTCACACCGTGCAGCGTCGCGTCCTGCCGAGAAGATAGAAATGGATTCTATTCTCGCGGGGCATCAACGCGGCACGGCGCAACAGGGCAATGCAACATATTGTGAACCTAGCCTTACCATATATGCAGTGTGGGTAAGTACAAAAATGTATGCATAACAATTAAGACAACTACAGGTAGGTTTGCTTCACTCGCCAACTGACCTTCATAGAAAGACTTAATTTTGTGCCTGTAATAGAGAGCACTTTCACCATCACTTTATCACCTCTTTTGACCACATCACTGACATCTTTAATACGTCCATCTCTACGTAACTGTGATATGTGTACTAAGCCCTCAAACCTTCCTCGAACTTCCTCCAGTTGAACAAAGCATCCAAACTGCATTATGCTTGTGACTCTTCCATTGTATATCTGATGAATATTTGTAAGAGAACAGAATTATAACATGTGCTCCGGAGAATGGACAACACAACAAAATCGTGCATCGTATGGCAACATTCCCTACTTTATCACAACTCCAGCTTATTCTATTAAGATTATCCATCATAGGAGTCACTTAGTTTTGTAAAAAATATATATAGCTAATCGCTACAATTAACACTCGCCACACTAGAACATTGAACCCATATGCATGCGCGGTACCACCATTGCATGGGCTATGCATTGTTGTTTTACTCGTGGTCTGCCGCTAGTGGCTCGCGGAGTCTGAAACAGGCTAGCTGCACTTTTAGATAGCGTACAGGATTTGATACACGTGGTGATATATTGTGCCTCCAAAGTACACAGAGAAAGCACCTCAGGTCGAGGTAAGCCAGTGAGATTATGCATGTTGGTTTTTTGCTTGTTTTCATGGTACATATATGCGTTTCAGAAATATTTCAAACACTAAGCCATTGGTCCCTTTATAGGCAATCTCATATCTTGTGGTGCAAAAGAGCTGCAGACAGACAGATACACACACACAGGCCTAGGACTGTAACCCTCGCTTCACATGTGTGGCAAGGGTTACTACACGACAGATGTCAACCTGCACAGCAAAAAAAATGCTGATCACCAGATAAAGTAGTTAATTAAGGGGTGATATTTTTGTAAAGACAATTCCTGTTTATAACGTAGCTTCGTGGTAAAGGTCAGCATTAGATCTCTCACAAAGGAACATCATTGTGATATTTGGTGCTTGTCTTTCACAACAGTGTGGGTGTATCATTCCAAAAAAAAAGAAAAGCACTACAGTGCAAACCCTCGGCGAACTGCGCATGCACGGTACTGCTAATTGATGGGCTGGGCCATTTCGTGGTGGTCTCCTGCTAGTATAGCTCTCGGAGAGTCTGACACGGGCTAGCAACAGTAGTAGATAGCATGCGTGAATCGATACGCGCCTTTCGTTGTGACTTCTTGCGCCTTGATACACAGAGCAAGCGGGCTGGTCAAATTAGCATATAACCGCATGCGCATTTTCCGCACAATGCTGGAAGCGCTCTAGCTTTGCAACGCAGCATTTTCAGAGAAAACCATTCGAAAATTCTGACCTTCATTGCCCGTTAAGTAGGTCGTATCGTTTGTGAGACGAACGACCATTCGAGAAGTGAGATGTAGAGTAACAGACACACAGACCCAACTACAGTACCTTCGCTGCGCATGCGCGGCGAGGGTAACTACGCAACACACAAAGAATACAGTGGATGACACAGCACTCTATGCAAACCTAACATCATTAGATAACTCAGCACTCTATGCAAACCCGACATCATTACTCCCACACTATACACAACAATCAAGTTAAAGACCTCAGAAACTGAAGGAGTGGAAGGCTTCTCTTCCCAGTGCCGCCGTTTCTTTAAGGGTGATTTTTCTGGAGATTGTGATTTAGATCGAGATCGTCCACTTCTTAACTGTCTTTTACTTCTGTTTCCCTTTCTGTACTTCAGGGTCTCAGAGTCAGATTGAAGGTGACTGTCTTTTCTTTCTGTACTGCTTCCTTCTTTTCGTTGATCATGATCTCCACTCACCTGAGTAAATTTGCTGATAGTATTTAAGAACTTAGCTAACACAACTGTAAGGAGTACAAGTCACAGTAGCACTACCTCTGTACTTACATATATACCAACTGTGTGGTTTACCAAAGCAACTAAGTTATTAGCTTTTGCCATGCATGCGCAGCGAGTACGGTATTGCACGTACTTCGTTTGAAAGTGGGTCCTATAATTCTGTCTGCTCCAATCTTTTCTGCCACCCAACACACAAAGCCTGGCAATACAAATGCATTCTACGCTTTACTGGCTTGATTTTTAACATGGTAATAATGCTGAATTTTTAAAATCTTGCGCGTATTTGCTCTACCTAGTTAGTACACTTTGTTGGTCTATATCATCCTGGGGCTATTTTTGTTGTTGTTTTTTGTTGTTTACAAACAAATGCTCTTGCACGATCTGTCATGGATTCCAATCTTTGTGCAAGTTTCATCTCCAATTTTTAGCTCGTATTTAGAATCACGTACAACAGTATGTGCAGTGCCTATCACATACAGAAAATTAGCACATTAAGACGACTAGGTATGCTTTCTTCTCACACAAATAAAAATGAGTGTACTTTGATCCGACAAAAAAGTAACTTACTTTAGTTGGTCTTTCTGGAAAACATTCCTCAATTAACAAATCCTCTGCACGGTGCTTATCATCAGAAATACATAAACCAGGAAATTTTTCTTCCTTTGTGTTATGAGAGTCTTTTGGAACACATTTCGACTTTTGGACAAGACCCTATAAACCAGATACATACCCTCACTAACTTGGTGTGCATATGACGTAGTGAACAAATCAATACATATACAACTACTTCATATTAAACTTTGTTGCGCATGTGGGGTGAGAGCTACAATACTTGGTCTGTGTGACTGTATTTTATCTAACATCTAACATGTCAAGGCATTATTTGCACCACAAACAAACTCACATATATATCGGCAGATGATCATGGGGCTTTCTATAAAATTGCTTTGTTTCACAGTTATGGTGTGAAACAGGGGTTCCTTGAGACGTAA